AAGCTTCTCCCCTGGCAATGGCGCCGGCAGATTGTGAATCATAATAAACTGCTGCTGGGATTGGCTGTGCAACACACCATGCCAATGCGTGAACCAAAGCAGCAAGCTCTGTTTCGAAGGCTGAAGCCACGGGCACATGGAAAGAACCAGCGTTCCCCGCGCCGGTGTCAACACTAATGAAGCCCGCCCACTTCCACTCTTGTTGCACCTGCGCGAGAACACAAAGGCACCAACCAGAGAGGATGTTATCAGCCTTGCTCTCGAAAGAGCCATCAACATAGATCTGCATGGCTTGGGGATCATCTTGAGCGTCCAGCCATCGCAATCCCTCAAGGAAAACCCGAGTGGCAGAGGCCAGAGAGGGTATGCAACGCCAATCTTGTCTCAAGGCGCTCCAACGAAGTTCCTTGAAGACAAAGGAGAACATGTCCGCGGAGACGCCGGTGCCAACTGCAGGTCCTGAGAGGGAGGGCTTCGGAGAGGGAATCGTCTCACACAAGGACAGTATCTTTGTCCCATTGCATGGCACTCCCCTGCGCCCAAAAGGGGTGGGAATGCTGTGGATCTGCGGGCGCCCGACTGCCTCGTGTTGGCTGTGCTCGGTGGCTTCTCCTTTGTCAAAGATGACCTGTCGGCGCTTGCGAACCGGAAAAGTCAGCTGCACAAGGCTAGTGCCGGCGGTGCCAAGAGAACTGTCTGCATTTGAGAGAGGCCTGGTGGCCAATCGCAGTCCTATAACAGCTCCATCTCTGACGCTCTCTGGGTAGACGAAGCGGTATCCAGAGGTCACCGGCAGGCTGAGCCGGGTCATGTCTGATCCACGGGGCAGAGAGAGCTGGATGAAACCTCGAGGTGCGTGCGGCGAGGGTAGAAGCACCGTCGCCAGGGCCGTATTCGCCGGCACGGATACAAAAAACTGAGCGATCCAGGCCAGGTTGTCAGGATCAGCCCACGTTGTACCCGGCTCGAAGATTGACACCAAACTCGAAAGATAATCCGCCGTTTCCAGAAAATCTGGTGCGAGCCGCGACGGAAGGTAGAACTGCAAAGGCGGATGTCTTGGCCCGTAGATGAGCACAGCCTGCATGTCAGGCCCGGGCATGCCGAGCAGGCGTTGGTGTTCGGCGATGCGAAGGCCAAGGCCGAAGCTGATGGTTTCTCGGCACCGTGCCTGTGCCTCCGCTGAGACCAGAGTCGCCGGTCTGGTCGGGAAGTGCACAAGGTGGATAGGAATGGCAAAGAGCCTCAGCCGCGGAATCAAGAAGTACAAACTATCCAGCGTAAGGACATGGGCCTCGAGGTCTGAATCCAGTAACTGGACCATGTCCCCATTGACAAGCTCGCGATGCGCAGCAGCCTGCGGTGCCCCGTTGAGGGAGATTACCTTGCCTCGGCGCCTCTGTGCCTCAGACAACATGTGTGCAGCCTGTGTTCCGCGATCAAGACACACCACATGTAGGAGAGAGGAGTCAGCTGACGAGTCATGCAAGACATGCACATCCTCACTTTGCCCATCAAAGATCAGAAAGGTCACTATTAAGTGATTCTGAACTGCAGGAAGCCGTGGGCACGCGGCACTCAGCATGAGGTGCGGGTTTGGTGGCACTCTTCCACGTACAGCCAGAATGAGGATCAGCTCAGTCAGAGCAGCCTGCACATCGAGCGTGTCGATGGGTTGCGGATTTAGGCGTACAGCCGTGCCACCCCCTGCCAACACGACGGAGACAGCCGTCACTGTGGGTGGCGCCCGCATCATGGTTGTAGATGAAGTAGTCGAGGCTTCTAGCGCCTGGAGCGCCGCGAGAGCCGACGCTCCTTGGGGATCAACCAAGACTCGGACCCACTGTAGGGAAAAGAGGTCGTCCGGGAGCGAATCAAGAACTCGCCCCCCGGCATCCTGAAAGAAAAGAAAGCGCTGCAAACGAAGTGCAAGAGGCCCCATCAGTTCGCTACACTGTTCAACAAGAGTCTCCCAAACCTGCTCAGCATCTTGTCCCGGCCGCAGCAGTGCAGTGCAAATTCTGCCCCGCAGGCTGCGGAAGTCAAAGGGCACTGCCACAGCAGCAAGTGGTGCGGCTGCCGAGGTGAGCACGATTTGGGGCTCATCGAGCAAAGGCATCGGTAGCTCGAGCATTTGGGCAGACCGGACCGGCTCGTCGGCCGCGAGAATTGCGTCGCGGAAGTAGTCCGCCGCCGTCCAATCCTCGGCCGCCTTTCTGACTCTCAGGTGCCTGTGAACATCGAACACGCTATAGTGTCGGCGTTCCCTTGGGTGACGAGCCTCAGCTCCGTACAGTCGCAGCTGAGAGGCAGGGAAGTCGCACACAGGTGGTTCTCCCAAATGAAAGGGGAGGAGGCTTGTGAAAAGAGAGTCCTTGGAGCACTGCAGGGTGGGGCGTGCTGGGCCAAAATTACCAAGCAGGGCTGGCGGGAAGGACGGAGCGGTCACAGGTTCACAGGTACCAGCCATGGCATTCATGCTCCTTGTAGCAACAGCGGGAGTTTGAAGCAAAGCCGTCGAGTCCCCCTCTCTCCAGTGAGGTCCTGAGGAGGTGCTTGTAGTGGATGTAAGCAGAGCAAGGCTTGGCGCATCGGCAAGGAGGTCCTCGAGGCCGCTGGGGCGCGCCTGCAAAAGCAACCATTGCAGAGTAGGCAGATGCTCTGGTAGGACATCAAGGAAAAAACCGTTGGCGTCCTGCAGCGTAAACCGATCAAGCATGAGCGGACATAGAAGCTGCTGACTAATACCGGGAGAAGCAGCAGCAGTTGCTCTAACAACCTCTTCCCTCGTCATGCCTGGCCGACATTGTATGGCGACCACACCCATGTCAAGCCCTCTAAGGTCAACGGGTAGGACAGAGAGGCCAGCCTCATCTGGTCCTGTAGTCACAGAAATCTGTGGGCAAGGGAAGCCAGGTAGAGCTGTCGTGATCACTTGAATTTGCCGTAAATCGCCCTCGGCGCTTTCGGTTGCAGAGCAGCAGTAGTCAGCCAGTGACCATAGATGCGATCCTGGGGTCGGGATGGGCCTTTGCCCATGCACGAATACAGTGAATCGTAGAGGCTCCGTATTCCACTGCGCCTCTGCCCCTTCAAAGGCCGCGCGCAAGTCCCGCAAAGACAGGTTAGTGCTGACAGGAGCGGTGAGCCCTTGTGGAAAGAGTCTCAAGCCTCGAAGCCGAGATGGAATGGCATCTGCAATCTCCATGGCGGTTGTGGTCAAGGTCGAGGAAGAGCCCGGGATGTTGTCCTGGGGGAAGGGGGTGGTAACACTGGCCGGTCGAGGCCAGGCAGGCATCGTGCTATCCCCATAGACAACTGTAAGAGGCTGTCCGGCAGTGGCTGTTTCACGTAACACCAACCATTCAGGTGTGTCAGCCCCAACGTAGAGATGAGTACCTGCAATCTGCTCCCCAGTTTCCTGGAAGAATGCACAGTGGCCCTCTTGATGCGCCTGTTCAAGAATGCCCTGAGGGTCGACCCCTTTATCTCGTAAAGCAGACCAAACCTCCGAAATCGGGCATGGGAGAACCAGGACCACTGTGTGCAACAATCCCTGCAGGGGCCGAAGGTCGACAGGGAGGGACCTGGCTCCAGGAGGCGCTGTCTGAGAAGTAAGCACAAGCTGAGGCACCGGTAGGTCTGGCAAAGGCACAGTGATTACCCAAACCAACCGAACACGGTACGGCACCAAGCCCGTTGCTGCTGCGATGTAGTCCAGAATGGACCAATGCGCCAGAGCATTTCGCTGAAGACAATCCAGTCGAGGCTCAAAGACTGCATATCTAGTCTTGTCAGGAGCCTCTTCGAAAGCACTAGCAAGGACTCGAATGTCGAACGGAGACATGTGGATCAAGTGGCCTTGCAGCCATGAGGGTTGAAGCGGGATGTAGGAAGCTATCATCGCCTTCAATTCTGTGATCATGGGCGGGGCCCTCCCTCCGGCGCGGTCGCCTGGCAAAGGAGCGGGGCCCATCAGCGGTGGCAACATCTGTCCATCGCGGTATTGGTTCTGCACAGATGTCTCGGTCGACTTGAGAGTGTCCCGCGGTGTTGCATCGTCCTGCGGAAGCTTGCCAAGCAACTTGAAGGGCAGGCATGCCGAGTGAGGAGCGGTGCACGCAACAGGCGGCACACGCAAGGGGCTTTGCGATGTCACTTCGGCAAGCTCAGCGTAGGTCCCAAGGGTGGGGGACAAAACCTCCGATGACGGAGGAGAGTATCGGAATCGAGAATCCGTGCTGATCGCGACCCGATCTGTGGTGCAAACCTCCTGCAGCGGAGGAGGATCAAAGACGGCAACCCTTGGAGGGGCCGAAGCGGCATCCCGGAGCGGGGCCGAGGAAGCTGCGCGGAGAGACCGCAGCAAGCAGGTGACAGTAGGGTCCGACGCGGAACCGCCCTCCCTGTCACAAGGGGAAGATAGAGTATCGGTGCCCCCCAGGAACCAGAGGAAACCCGAAACTCCCTGAAGGAAACCCGAGGAGCGAAGGAAACGGTCCTTCGGCTCCAGATAGAGTTTGTTGTGCGGGAAGCTGTACAAGAAGAATGTACAGTCTGTACAGCTGGGCAAAATGCCCTCAGAGCTGGCCTCAGGTAGGCACTCTTAAACACCAGGCCGGCAGCTGCAACCGAGGTCCCCTCTGCTTCAGCATCAACAACCAATCGGGTGCCCATGAGATTGGTCGGACGCCGGAAAGAGGGAACGCAAGGTCGGCTGCGTCCTAGTGTTAACAGTGTCACCACCGGGTCACAGCTAGCATCGTGGCCACCAGAACTGTCACTGGTGGTGGCCGTTCCAGTTGCGTGCGATCGAGGATCCAGGCTGAGGCTCGTGAAGATCCCACATTCATCGAGCTCCCGTTCGTACGCAGCACGCAAGCCCAGAATCCTGGCGAGGGGCGGGCTCACATAGTCACTCTCATCCATTATCGAGTGAAACCTCCCAAAGAGAGAGGTAGGCATCGGCCTCGTGTACCCCAAGGGGCTCTCCACGAGGCCTAGGCAGGGTGTTGCTGTCCAGAGGTAGCACCACCACCAGTAGCGCCCTCTGGCTTTTCCTGCTTGACTTCCGTTTTGGCATCCATTTTGACGTCCTGCTTGCCTTTTCCAGGCGGCTGTTCTGCGCGTCGGCGTGGAGAGCGTTCTCGATCTGGTCTCTCGAGAAAGGCCTCCTGTTCCTTGGATGCCTGACAGGCAGCTTGGAGCGTTCTGGAGATCTCCGCCTCCCTCACCGCCATCTGCTCCTGGAACTGGCGCCGCTGCTGCTCGCGTTGTATCTCCTCGTCGATGGCCTGGTCCGCGGTGTTCATGTCCTCGGAATCCGACCCATCCACCTGCTGAACCTCCCCATTCAGCTTGGAAATGTCGCGACTGGTTTCCTGCAGTTGCTGTGACCACCGCTCTTCCGACTGGTCGAACTCCTGCATGGCGGTCGCTTTCTCTTGCAGCTGCTGTTCCCAGGTTTGGCAGAGCTTGGTGGTGTACTTGGTCCACTGTGCAAGAAAGTCTCTTCTGGCCGCTTTGATCTGGTCGAGCTCTCGGCGCGCTGCTGTCTGGGCCGAGACGAGCTTGTGCATGGCCCGTCCCGCTGTCTTGTGGTCCTCGCCAGTATGTTCGTCGAGGAGGGATCGAAGCTGCTGTGGTAGCTCCTCCCGGGTACGACTCATCGCACCAATGAGTTGCTGCAGCAGGTGGTCTGAAGCCGTCAGACCATTCGACGTCGTGCCCTCCTTGGGAGGAGGAGGGATTGCTGGCACTGGCGCCGCCGGAAGACTTCGCTCTGGCGGGACTGAAGTGCCGGCTCCCTTGGAGGCAGGCTGCCCCTTGGGTCCTTTGGTCTTGCCCTTGCCACCACCCTTGTCCGGCTGTCCACGGCTGCGAGGTGACTTCGCCTTGCGGCTTCTGGGAGACCGAGCGCGCGGGTCCTGACGGGAAGTCCACGGCTCCTGTTGTCCCCAGGCATGGTCGTCCTTGTGCGGCCACGGCGCATGCTGGGGCTGATTGGCATAGGTGCCTGTGGCACTCCAATGCTGTCCGCAACTCGGGCAGTAAGCAAAGGTGCCTCTCACTGACTGCTTGCAGCTCCGGCAATGCCACGCCGCTGATGCCGCCATCGTGGAATGGTGGTCGTACACCAAGCGCTGAGCCGCCTGAAGCCGGTGCTGCGATGCCTCGATCCAGCCCGAGCCAACCGCTCGGAGAAGGGTCCTGGCTCGTGTCCTGGCTTTGCGTTGTCGCCGATGCCAGGCCGGCTCGATGGTGCGTCTCACACCCTGCAGTATGATGAAACTGTAGAAAGACCGTAACCAGGAGCCGGAGGCTCATCCACAAATGTATCCACTGTCCAGTCCAGCCTCCAAGGAGGGGATGTAAGCAATACAGAAGGGATGGCCAGGGAAGGAAAAAATCCAGCTGTCAAAGACAGGGATAAAGCAGGAACACCTCGCAAGGCGTACAGTGTCCAGCTGTCAAAGGACAGAGTGCCGAAGGCTCACAGTGTCCGTGGGCGGGCGTATAGTGCGCCGCGCTGGGTCAGGCAACAGTTCGCGAGGGACTCCTGGGAGAAACTACCTCTACCAACGAACTGAAGCCAAACGCCTGAGGTTTAGAGTTTAGGGTTTAGGGCTTAGGGCTTAGAGGTTTAACGGTTTAGGGTTTAGAGGTTTAGAGTTTAGGGTTTAGGGCTTAGGGCTTAGAGGTTTAACGGTTTAGGGTTTAGAGGTTTAGAGTTTAGGGTTTAGGGCTTAGGGCTAGGGTTTAGGGTTTAGGGCTTAGAGGTTTAACGGTTTAGGGTTTAGAGGTTTAGAGTTTAGGGTTTAGGGCTTAGGGCTTAGAGGTTTAACGGTTTAGGGTTTAGAGGTTTAGAGTTTAGGGTTTAGGGCTTAGGGCTTAGAGGTTTAACGGTTTAGGGTTTAGAGGTTTAGAGTTTAGGGTTTAGGGCTTAGGGTTTAGAGGTTTAAAGGTTTAGGGTTTAGAGGTGTAGAGTCTAGGGTTTAGGGTTTAGGGCTTAGAGGTTTAACGGTTTAGGGTTTAGAGGTTTAGAGTTTAGGGTTTAGGGCTTAGGGCTTAGAGGTTTAACGGTTTAGGGTTTAGAGGTTTAGAGTTTAGGGTTTAGGGCTTAGGGTTTAGAGGTTTAAAGGTTTAGGGTTTAGAGGTGTAGAGTCTAGGGTTTAGGGTTTAGGGTAGGGTCTTGGGATCTTCTTTCATTCTTAAGAGCTGAGGGTTTAGGGTATCAGGGGCTGGGATTTGCAGACTCTTCGGCTTTAGGCTGAGGGGCTTTAAAGGGAACTCCAGAAAGTTGGAATATGGATTAATAGTAGGATCCCCAATAATTTACCTTAAAGGGGTTACGATAATGATATGACAAAAATTCTGGCTTCTACTTTAGGGGTTGCAGGGGTTTTGCGACTTGAAGGCTGAGGGGTTTAAGGGCTCTAGCGGTCAGAGGGTTTAGGGATTCGTGGGATTTACTTGCCACGAGTTAGTAGGGAATGGAGGAATGGGGTACAATTATAACTACTACGGTTGATGATAAAAATCCTGCACTACCCTAAGGACCCTAAACTATGGGAATCATGGCACATTCCTTATTTATGGGGTACTGCAGGATTTATATCATCAGCCGTATTACCATTCTTCCATTCCCTACGAACCAAAGGGTAAGTTCAGAGCACCTCCACTTAAAGGCTCATGGGACTTAGTAAGTAAGGATATAATTAGGATAACCCCACTTAGGGGACTTATAACCCCAATTATAACCTACTTACTAAGTCCCATGATCCTCTAAGCACTTTTCGGCTCGGGGCTCTCTCAGGGGCTCTCAGGGGCCGTAGGGGGTCAGAGGGGGTTTAGGGGTTGGGGGGGGGTTGGACAGTTGGGTTGAGGGTTTAGGGCTTTCGGGGTTTTGGGCTTTCTATGGCCCCAAAAAAAACACATAAGCAAAAATTAGGGTAGGGATATCCCATATAAATCCCCTTATAATGAAGCCCAATAAGGTAGGGATATCCCCATAAAATGCTTATGCTTATGTGCTTTTTGGGTCCCTAACTTTAGGGTTCAAGGGTTTTGCGAATAGTTAGGGTGTTAAGGGTTCGGGGTGTTCAGGCTGTTTAGGGTGCTTATGGGGCGGGTTTCACTGACTCATAAGGGGTTTGAACGGTTTTTTGGGGCTCTAAACCCCTAAACCCCGAAACCCAGAGCCCCTAAACCCCAACCCTCTGAAGCCCTGAACCCTAAAGCCCTAAACCCTAAAACCCCCTGAACCCCATACGGAGCCCTGTAAGGAACCCTTTAAGGATCTTTCTAAGGATCCTTTTGAGTAACCCTAAACTCTCGCAGTTCAACTGGAGCCTTCGGATGATCCCACACCGCCCCAAGGCGCTCAGCCACCTCCCCGCAGCTTCTTTTCGGTGGGCCTTACGAGTTCCTTTTCAAGGGTTCAAGGTTTTTTTTTTTTTATTTTTGAGGGCTCTTTTCCACCTGTCTAGCAGTCGGAATTCCTTTACCAGGAGGAGGGTTCAAGGTTTAGGGCTTAGGATGTAGGGCTTAGGATTTAGGGTTTAGGGTTTAAGGGCTTTCAAAAATTAGGAAGAGGGTTCCTTTTCAAGGGTTCAAGGTTTAGGGCTTAGGGTGTAGGGTTCAAGGAGTTCAAGGGTCTTAAAACATTAGGAGAGGATTCATTTTCAGTTCAAGGGCTCCTTCTACAGGGACCTACAAGGGTTTCTATGAGGGTTATTATTTAGTCTCATATTAACCAAAGCTTTGGTTTAGTGACGTTTCGCGTTTAGGGTGCATGGTCGCAGCTTTAGGGTCTAGGCTTTCTGGTTGAGGGTTCAGGGTTCAGGATTTCGGGTTATGGTTGAGGGGTTTCCAGGTTTAGGTGCTTCGTTCCAGGGTTGAGGGTTGGAGGTCTGGTTTAACCTTTCAGGCATCTGTGATTTTTGGTTGCTTTTTGCCCGCAAGGAAACTCCGAAACCCCACAGCCCAAAGCCTGTACCTTAAACCGTACCAGCATAAAACCTTAGACGCTGACCCTTTCTTGAGCCCAACGCGCAAGCCTCTACACCCCAAACCCAACACCCTACCAAAGTCCGAGGAGGGAAGTCTTCGACATCGGCTGAGAAGCCTTGCGAGAGCTAAGCTTAGGGAATGGGCGGGCCTGCAAAGCCTCAAGGTTTGAGTCTAGGGTCCCTAAACCCTAAACCCTAACCCCAAACCCTAAACTGTCCCTAAACCCTAAACCCTAAACCCTAAACTGGCCCTAAACCCTAACCCTAAACTGTCCCTAAACCCTAAACCCTAAACCCTCAACTGGCCCTAAACCCGCTTAGAGCTTCTTCGAGTTCGAGCCTGGGTTCGGATAACACAGGGGCCTGACTACTTGGAATAGGGTTTTTGCCCAGAGATCCCAATGCCCCTTAATTAAGGAATATACCTTAAAATATAATAGGATCCCTAATGTGATTTAAGGCATATTCCTTAATTAAGGGGTATTGGGTTCTCTGGGTGGTTCCCATTATACTTTATCGGTGCAGGGTTCGTGCAGGAAGGGTGTGGGATTAGAGGGTTCAGGGTTAAGGGTGGCTTTGCTTCAGCTTCTCTCGCACTTAGCCCCAACCACTGTTGAACGAAGTCGCCAGTGCACACTTGTGCACCATACATCCCTGCAGCTGGAGGAGTTGACGGTATGATGGAGCCTCCGCTGCAAAAGCAGCGAACCTCTTGGAGTGTAGTGATTTCGGAGGCTGGTCCAGATCTTATTGATCAGTGGCTCGGCTTCCAGACTGGCACTATACGCAAGCCTGAGCAGCCCCGAGGCTCCTTTCTTGCGCTGGGCCCCACCCCGGTACCAAACGGTTTAGGGTTTCAGGGTTTAGGGTTTAGGGTTTAGGGTTTAGGGTTTAGGGTTTAGGGTTTAGGGTTTAGGGTATCGACCAACTGGAGGCGTGGTGGGAAACTCCTTGACGGGTTGACCGCCAAATTGCTTGGGCCGACGTCGCAAATCGAGATTCCTTTGCTCTCGACCCAGGTCAACACCGCTCCCACGTAAAAGAGAAACTCGCGAATCTGTTGCGGCGTCATCTGCTTGAACCGCTCGGTAGCGAGCGAGCTCTTTCGTTGTAAGAGCCACGTGTCCCTAGACTCTAAACCCTGAGTCCGAAACTCTAAACCGTCTAGACCCTACACCCTAAACCCTGAATCCTAAAGCCCTAGACCCTAAACCCTGAATACTACGCCCTAAATAGACCTACACCCTAAACCCGTAAAGCCGTAGACCCTAAACCCTGAATACTAAGCCCTACATAGAGGCCCTGAACCCCTGCACCCCAAACCCTGAATCCGACGGTTGATGATATAAATCCTGCATTACCTGAATGGCCCTAGACTTTGGGAATTATGGTTTATTCCTTATTATGGGTAATGCAGGATTTTTATCATCAGCCGTAACCCCAAACCCCCAAAACCCAAAACCCTAAACCCTAAAACCCTAAACCCTAAAACCGTGAAACCCAAAACCTTGAAACCTTAAACCCCAAAAACCCAAGTCCTCCTGGCCTCAAAGGCCTGCGCGGCCGCGGCCAAGTGGAACGCGTACGCCTCCTCCAAAGGCGGCCTCGGGGTCGTCTCCCGCCCAGAGATCCCAATACCCTTAACTAAGGAGTATACCCTGGGTTCCTTTAAGCGTTCCTTTAAGGGATCTCTAGGGTTTAGGGTTTAGGGGACTTCAACATCCCATAATTAAGGAATGTACCATAAAGTATAATAGGATCCCTAACATGATTCAAGGCATATTCCTTAGTTAAGGGATATTGGGTTCTCTAGGCGTGTTTGAGGCTTTGGATGATGGCTTTGGGGGTTTGGGGTTGAGGGTTTTGGGTTTAGGGTCTGGGGTTTAGGGTTTAGGGTTTATGGCTTTGGGGGTTTGGGGTTCAGGGTCTGGAGACAAGGGTTGAGGGTTTGGAGTTTGGGATTGAGGGTTCGGGGTGTTCCCCCTTGTCCGGGTCTGCGTTTAGGATTGAGGGATTGGGGCTTGGGGTTTAGAGCTTCAGGTTTTCAGAGGACTGCGAAGACCGACTCGCTCGGATCTACAGTAAGGACTGTAAGGGTCAGGGTTCATTGCACTTATAGTATAAACGAGCCCTAAACCCTCTTCTGACTATTGAGGCCCGTACACTACGCTCCTAATTGCTGAGGCTCATTGCTCCTGCAACTTCATCGCAGAAGCTTGTAAACACCCACGAACGCCAAGCACGTGCAAAGAAAGCACAGGCATCCTTTACCATCAGAAGGCACCAAAAAAAAGCTAGAAACCTCATGAAAGTAAATACCCGAGCTATGGAAGCTCCTGAAGAAGCAGCCAAGAATCGACTGAAAACCCTTCATGATCTGGTCCAAGGGGCGGCAGCGAAGACACCAAATGCTCCAGCTTCTCAACGATGCGGCTGAACTCCTCGAGCCTTGCAGTTTCCGGGAGCCATCCATGTTGATAGCTCAAGGCTTATAGGGTTTGGGCTTCAGGGTTTAGGGGTTTAGGCTTCCCCTACAAACACTTGCTTGCACTACAAGCGAACAAAACCAAGTCCAGTAAATCCAGCCGCTAAAATACCTGCCTTCCAACACCCCGAAATCCTAAATTTTACACGCCAGCATACCCCAACCTTAAACTGCCCGAAATCCTGAACCCCGAAAGCCGGAACCCCACCCTCCGGGCGCCTCGCCGCCGAGTCTTCCGAGTCCAATGCTTCCAGCTGCGGCAACAACCTTCTGAGCTCCTGGTAGGAGGAGGAGGAGGAGGAGGAGGAGGAGAAGGAGTATTTAGAGAATCATGGGACTTAGTAGCTAAGGTTATAAATAATATACATATAGTTATTACACTTATTCATAACTCCAGTTAAAGTACTTGTAACCGTACTTACTAAGTCCCATGATCCTCCAAGAAGGAGGAGGAGGAGGATGAGCAGGAGGAGGAGGAGGAGGAGGAGGGAGGAGGAGCCGGAATGATTCGAGTGAGGTCTTGGGGTATATAGTAAATTTCTATATCGGGAATCTAAACCGATATTCGTACGAATTCAAAACCAAAATGGGGTTTCATAGTGCTTTAGCGGAATGAATATAGGCGCCTGAGTCATCACAGTAAGGTCCTGAGGGATGAAGGATAAGCGGTCATGCATCAGTACTTAAAGGCTCATGGGACTTAGTAAGTAAGGTTATAAGTAGGATATAATTAGGATAACCCCACTTAGGGGACTTATAACCCCAATTATAACCTACTTACTAAGTCCCATGATCCCCTAAGTACTAGATATTCAGTCCTGTGCATTGTCCGGTTTGGTCTTCCTAGCCAGAGAGCCCAATACCCCTTAATTACGGAATATGGCTTAAATCCTAATATGAAGCCCTATATTTTCCAAGCCATATTCCTTAATTAAGGGGTATTGGGCTCTCTGGGTACCTCAGCCCACAGTCACTTTAAAGCTTCTTGAACCTCTGTTCAATCAACAAAACCTTAATCCAAGCCTTCACTAAGCCATGAGAAGCTTCACGTTCGAAGTTTCTGACTTGCTTCCTCCAAAACGCCCTGAACCCAAAGCCACTGAAGAACCGAAATCCGAGTTTTTGGGTTTGGTCTTTAATCCTTTGGAGTCAAAGGATCAAGACTCATCTCTCAACCCTTAACCCAAGCTTTAGACTTCAGAGTTTTTGCGCCTGAAAGAAGGGCTCTTCCCTGCTGCGGTTTTCGAAGGCGCACCTGGAGAGCGATCGACGGCGGGACGTTTGAAGGCTTCGGGTTTAGGGCCTAGGGTTTAGGGTGTAGGGCTTAGAGTTTTGGGGTTGGGGTTCAGGGTTTAGGGTTCAAGGCTTAGGGTTTAGGATGTAGCTTTCAGGAAGGATCGACTGCTTGGAAACAGGGTTAGTATAGGCAGCTTCGCATTTCAGATAAGGTCTTGCATGAGAATATCAATATAGAGGGCTGCATAAGGGGTAGTATCCCCAGTAGTGGTTTCCTTGTATTGTGGTATTTGGGTTCGTTTACTTGGGGTCTTGACTTGAAGCCTTTAGGTTTCAGCGGAATCTACGCCAAACCTTCCAAACCATATACTCACCCTGAAAAAGCATGCTACACACTTCAGAAATACAGTTGAACAATCCAAGAAACCAACCAGAATCATACATGGCCGGCCTGCAGCCCCAAACCCTACGAAATTTCGAGTTATGACACAGGGCAGAACTGCATCCCACACTTCAAACGTCTGATTAGATTGGAAGATCATCGGACTCAGTAGGTAGGTTATAATTGGGTGGGGTTGTCCTATTTATATCCTATTTACAATCTTTCTTACATACTAAGTCCCATGAGCCTTTAGGTGTGTTTTGACAGACACTTTGGGTCCCCTTTCGTCGACTGCAGGCCTTGGGCAGTTGCAGGTGAAGCCCAAGGCGCCGTGGTTTTGCGATATTTCCTGCCGGTTAGGGCTTCGGGTGTAGAGGGTCTGAGGCTCCGGGATTCGAGAGGAATATCAAGTGAGAATCGCCGGCCCTAGCCCATCATACGCCCTAAGCTTAGGGTTTAGGGCTTGGGGTTTAGAGCCCGAATCCCTATATACAAGTGTTTTTGTAAGGACTCCGAAGGGTCCGGGCTCGGACTTGGCCGTTGGGGTGTTCAGACATCTTGGCTCCCAGACCACAAGTACCGTCTCGGCGAGTTTAATAGTGTTAGGGCTTAAGTCTGGAGTTTCGACTTAGGGTCTGTTGAATGTGAGGCTTGGGGCGAACCGGGTCAATAGAGTTTCGAGGTATATTAGAATAAGGTTTTTAGTAAGGGAGTTCTAAGGAAGTATACAGGCAGTTATTCATACAGCAGTACTGTAGAGATATCAGAGGGAGCCCTCAGGAGCAGCAAATTGCACATTATTCAGGCTTCTACCTAGAGGCTCCATAGTAGTTCCTTTTTGGGGTTCATATTTAGAATCCTATAGGGTAATCCCAAAAAGGAACTACTATGGAGCCTCTGGGTAAACCCAAGCTCAGACCCGAAAGCCCTTGATCGATCCCCGGGTGCTGCGCCTGTCTGCCTCGGTAGCTACGCACCGCATGCGCTGTGCCAAAGTATTCCTTGAACGCGCGGGTTTTGAGTTTAGGTGCTTTGGTGTTAAATCTTAAACCCCCCTATAGTCTTAGGTTTGGTGTTAAATCTTAAACCCCCCCTATAGTTTTAGGTATATTTCTTAATTAAGGGGTATTGGGATCTCTGGGCAGGGCTTTGGTTTTAAAGCTTCAGGGGAGTTTGAGCTGAGGTTTTAGAGTTTGCGGATTTTGGAAGTTTCTGAAAATAGGGGACCCTAAACCCTAAACCCTAAACCCTAAACATTTTTTTGGGGTCATGAAAATGAGGATCCTACTATTTTGGGCTACTATATTAGGGTCCCTTATTTTCGGAAACTCCTATTTTGCGGTAGGGTTCATGGGGTCGGGTTTGGGCTTCTGGCTGAGGCGGTGGTGGACTGCTCGAAAGGCTTTAGCGCCTTTCCAACTCAAGGTTTTTGCTTCGAGAACAACCTGAAACCCTAAACTCTAAACACGAAACCCTCAACTCTAAACACTAAACTGCGTGTGGCCGCAACTCCAAACATCCGAACATGTGTCATGGGAGGTGCAGAGAAGCGAGGGACCCCAACATGAACCTAGGGTCATAAATAGAGAGTAACTACAGCTGTAAATCCAATTAAGGTACTTATATAATAACCTTACTTACTATGTCCCATGATCCTCCAAGTAGACCCTAAACCCTAGACCCTATAGATCCCTGTAAGGAACCCTACAGATCCCTTTAAGGAGCCCTTACTTCCAACTAGGATCTCCAAAACACGGTAATCCGGGAGAAAAAAATTCTACGTAGTGAAGACGACTGAACAGTGGGATCCCCATTGTAAAGGACCCTACTGTAAACCCTAAACCCTGGCTTTCAGAAACAACCCGAAACCAAGGCAACTCTCACTTCAAGAACCCCCCCCCCCCCTCCAATTCTCGGATTTCTTCGGAACTTGGTTGCTTTGCTTTGCGGGGTTTATGGCCCCAGCTTCAAATGTGACCTCGTCGCCTTTGGACAAGTCCTTGGCCGCGCGCAGCAGCATCAAGCCACCTTCAACTGCATCGGGTATGCAGGGTCTACATTTGGGGTACCTTATCTTGGGGTCCTTGCAATGAGGATCCTTCTATGTAGGGTACTGTATTAGGGTCCCCTACTTTCGGAAACTCCCGCATTTAGAGGCCTTCATAATTCGAACAGGGTTTTGGGAGCACTTTAAGAACTGTTAGAATAGGGTTTTTGGGGCCCCTTATACCATGATTATAATAAGGAACCTTCAATATGGTATAGGTATGTATTTTAGTATTGCAGGGTCAAAAGAGTCTATAGGGTCTATAAGGCTTATAGGAAATTATTGTCTAGGATTTAGGGAAATCCTGGAGCATGAATCCCTGCTCCACAAACTCTAAACCTTAAGCAAACCCCAAAAAAGACCGCATCCCTGGACATAAACCCCCCAACTAACTACCCTCTACCATAATACCCACTACTAAGGACCATAAGGGCTCCATTACAGTGTAGTTGGGGGTGCTGGTAAGCCCCAAGACCCTTAACCCCCTGAAACCCCTAATTCAGGCCTCCGCGGGCAGAGCTGACCGATCCCTCCTGAATGGTCAAACGTGGTGTCTGGGATTTAACGTAAAGCGCACGGGCGGTTCAGGGGTTTAGGAGATCACGGCTTCAAGGAGTTGGGGTTTAGGGGCTTAGAAGTTCAGGGGTTCTAGGGTTTGGGGTTTAGGGGCTTAGGAGCTCATGGGTTTAAGGGTTCGGGGCTTTTACGGTTTACTTTGGGTTTGGGGCTGGGATTTCGAATAATTATGAGCTGTAGGGCTCACCTCCTTCTCTGTGATCACGTACTGCGCATTGGGACAGCACGCATGGTTGACGAAGGCGATGGACACCTCGTGCGCCCAGAGGGGCCGCCCACAAGAATTTCCTACCTCCGATGATTGCGTTCTAAACCCTGTGTTGTAAGTACCAGCTACAATCTCAGGGTTCCTTACTCATTATGATAGGTCTGATAGGTATAACCGGTATACTATCATATACCGCTTCCCCCCTGCAGGTCCCGCTCCAGTCCTTCTGTTCTCAAGACGCTTGACCCTAAATTTTGGAGTCCTTGAAGAGGGACACGGATGAAAGTGCGAAGCACTCTGGCAGCAGGAAGGCACCACCCAGTCAACCGGATGAAAAATGAAACTCCTGAACCCTAAAACCCCTAAACCCCTAAAACCCCTAAAACCCCTAAAACCATTAAAACCCCTGAAACCCCTGAAACCCCTGAAACCCCTAACACCCCTAAAACCCCTGAAACCCCTAAAACCCCTAAAACCCCTAAAACCCCTAAACTCTAAACCCGAAACGATCCCGTCCACTTCACCGGGCCTTCAGTCCTCATCTTCCTACGCCCTTACCACAAGCTGCACACTACCCCAGGCCCAAACCGCCCTGTCACAGAGCCCAATACCCCTTCATTAAGAAACATACATCAAAAAACAGAGAGCCTTGCCATTATGGTTTAGGGCGTATCCCTCATTTCCGGGTTAGTGTTTAGGGTCTAGGGTTGAGGGCCCAGGGGTTTATCCCTCATTTCCGGGTTAGTGGGGGCTCTCTTGTAGGGTTTATCCCTTAATTCCCGATTACTGGGAGCTCCGTCGGCCGAAACAAGCACCTCCACTTGGAGGATCATGGGACTTAGTCTTCAAGGTTCTAGGGGTCCCTTTTAAGGGATCTATAGGGGTACTATAATGGTTTAGGGTTTAGGGTCTACTTGGAGGATCATGGGATTTAGTAAGCAAGGTTATAAGTACTTTACTTGGAGTTATTCTTAAATATAACTAGACTTACCCTAATTATAACCCTAATTACTAAGTGCCATGATCCTCTAAGCAGAGCTGGAAGGCCACGGCACCCACAGACCCCAGCCATGTGAGGCGCAGGAGAAGGCATTCGTCTTCAGGACGCCGAACAGCTGCCTCGGTTGCAGTTTAGAGTTTTTTCTGTTAAGTGCAATGGGGCCTTTTTCCGCAGTTTAGAGTTCAGCGGTTGGGGTTTAAGGTTTGAGGTTTAGGGTTTGAGGTTTAGGGTTTAGGGTCTAAGGTTGAGGGCTTAGGGTTTAGGGTTTCAAGCTCGGGGCTTCAGTTTCAGCCGTTAGGGTTTATGGCTTCATGGCTGCTTGTAAGGTTGCTGCATCGGGGTATCAAAGTTTTGGAGTTCAAGCTTTTGGGTCCTGTGCTTGGTAGTTCAAGGTTTGTATTCACAGGCTTGGAAACACCCTAAACTCCTGAACCCTCAACCCTAAAACCCTAAACCCCTGCACCCTAAATCTTATCTCTATGACAAGACCCTAAAACCTCAGCCCCTGCACCCAGCTCCGGCCGAGCGGCTCCGCGCCGAGCTGTCTCCCAGGGCTTTCTGCCTCGGCCTTGGTGCTCTGTTCAGATGGGTCTCATACTTGCCTTTATGGCAACTATACTGAACTTAGAACCCTAGCAAAAATTACAATTTTAGCTGTTTCTTAAAGATTATAACCAAACATCAAAAAATTATGTCGAAGTACCCCTAAGGCAACCTCTTTTGAAACTTACGACACCCTACGATACCCCTCTATATCCCTTTCATGGGCTCCTTCAAGAGAGCACCGCTGAGGCTGTGGCTGCTGAAAGGCCCTGAAGCACATCACGGCCAACGGCAGGCTGCACCTATCTGGAAGTCTCCGATTCTATGGGGTTTTGATCGCGTGTTTAGACGGTGTTTTGTGGGGTCTTCATAGGGTGTGAGGTTCTTTTAGGTGCTTGTAAGATGTTATTTGGGTTGCTGTGAGGTGTTTGTCGGATGCGCTTATACTTGTTATCGGGTATTTCACAAGGCATTCGGTAAGGTTTCGGACGACGTTTAGGGCCTAGGGACCTGCGGCCAAGCTGAAAAAGCCAAATTCGGGGGCGCCTTCACCATGGGCTCCTGTATAGTATACTTATAATAAGGAACCTTGAGGATTAGGATTAGTGCTGGTATTTTAGGCTTCTATATGGGTGGTTGTCAAAATTGTGGTCCCTTTTTGGGTCCTTCATATAATACGTCACTAACCCCCCTTCACAACCCTTAAGACAAGCGTCGCGGCACGTCAGAAAAACCAACCATCTAAACCTCCTGGGCCCCCTGGACCCTCAACCTTGAACTCTACTCCCTCCCCCTGGCAGCCCACCTCACCGGTGCTCAGTAAGCCAACCCCTCGGCGAGCTTTGCCGGAGGCGGCGAGTGTAGTGGACAAAGCCTTCCTTGCTTTGGGTCTAAGGTTTAGGGATCAAGGTTTAGGGTTTGGGCTTTCAGGTCCTTCGCAGCTCAACTGCATATCGTATGGACCTTAATGATGCGGCTGGGGTTACGGGTATCTTACTGCATGGGTATTGTATAAGGGCCCCCTAGCGAATCACACTGTCAACGATTCAGGCTGATACATTAGGGCTTAGTGGTTGAGGCTCGCGGGGGCTTGAAAGGCCTTGAGGTTTTGGGGCTCAGGTGCTTCCTGGCTTTCACCGTAGGACTCCAGGCTTTGGGGATTGTGGGACGTTTGGGGTTTAGGTCTCAGGGCTTACGACTTTTGCGCTCCCAGAGATCCCAATACCCCTAATTAAGGAATTCAATTATAGTAGGATCCCTAATATGACTTAAGGTATATTCCTTAATTAAGGGATATTAGGGTTCTCTGTCCCTTTTTTTCGGCCGGGCCTTATAGATCCCTTTAAGGAACCCTTTAAGGATATTGGGTCCTCTGGGCCAGTCCTTCAGGCCTCCGGCTTTGGCCTTCTTTGGCTTGAGGGCTTCCTGGTGAAATGCTGCAGATCTCGCTGGCTGCCGGACAAAATTCAGGTCTACTTAGAGGATCATGGGACTTAGTAAGTAGGTTATAATTGGGGTTATAAGTCCCCTAAGTGGGGTTATCCTAATTATATCCTACTTACAACCTTACTTACTAAGTCCCATGAGCCTTCAAGTAGGGTTGAGGGGTGCAGCTTGGGGTCGTCGTTGTTGCAATAAGCAGCAGCAGCAGCAGCAGCAGCTTTCCCAGTGGCAGCAGTAGTAGCAGCACGTAGTAGCAGAAGCAGCAGTAGCAGCAGACCCATGCCCAGAACATGCCGCAAGAACCACGGCCGACATTTCAACCCCCAACGCCAAAAGGCAGGCAGCGACACCTCCGAATGCGCGCTAGCCACTAATCTTTACTTTCCATCCCTCCGAACAACCCTACAAACACTACGAAGTCTGCTCTGACCGACCCTTCCTATGCCATGTCTGGGATGAAAAGGACCCCTGAAAGGTAGACGCTAAAGAAACTCATGCATCCTACACAACCAAAACCTGAACCCTAAACTGTTCAAGTAAGCCAGCCTTAGACCCGAAGCCCCAGGAACTTGAACGGCAATAACCGCAAGCTGGGGTTCTGCATGGGCGCTGTGGGGTCCGGAAAAGCCTTCACCTTGAACAAACATCAGATTCTTGATTCAGGGTTTAGGGCTTTGACTTTGGGATTCCTTTGAGGAGACGCGATGATGAAGTTGTACCTTCGTACAGGATTTTAGGGACGTAGGACTCTTGGAGTATTATAAAGGGGAGAGATGCTTCAAGAGAAAGTCTCGATGCTTTAGTTTCCATAGGTTGATCTGCTTCTTTGGTGATCGAGCGCTGAGGCAGGAGGCTAGCATTCACGGAGGGAGGGAGGTTTTGAACAGCTTTCTCATGTAATGTCGCGGCCTGAACAATTCGATCGAGATTGGGGGTACAAAGTAATCTGTTTCTATCGGGACGAGACGGGGACACGATTGCCCAAGACAGCATATGCAACTGAAAACCCGAGGAACCCTTCATCATGTTTAGCAGCTCCGACGGCTTAAAGTTTTTTGATTCGCTCGGTTTGAATCCGCCTTCTTAGGTAACCCCTGGCGTTCAGAAACTGTCGAAGTAGTCAGACTACTGCACAGCTGATTGCCCGAAGTTGCAACCTCCATATGGCCAGGAAATAAAATAATCCACAAACCAAGTGCGGCTGCAAACCAAGACATGAGTCAGCCACTATCCCAAACCAGAAGTCCTAAACTCAAAGCCGCAAACCCGAGAACGCTACAACCCCAACTAAATTAAACCCTAAACCTTAAGCTAAACCCTGAACCCTTGGCCCGAGCCCCAAAACTTCCCTAAACCAACCCTAAACCCTAAACCATAGAAGTTTAACCCCGAATTCAAACCACTCCAGCCAAAGAGACCAGGCGTGCAGGCGCAGCGCTGGCGCGCCCGGGCCGCGCCCCGATCGCAGTGGGGGGCGCCGGGAACGCCGATGGGCCTTAGCTTCCGGGCTATGCAAGATAAGGGCCGTAGCAGTTAGATTAGTCACTCAGGTGTTTTTATAGTATCTGTAGCGTTTTATCATATAGAGCCTGAACTACTCGTGTCGGGGTTGTATTGATTCTACTAGGTGATGATAGGTAACCCGAGTGCGCAGGTACCCTGAAACTCAAGCCCTTGATGCTCTTGAAGGGTTTGGGGTGTAAGGTTTCTAGTGATTCTACTGTGTTCTCTCCTTACTGGTTTCGGGCGTGCAGCCTTGGAAGACCGCGGCATTGGCGGCCATCAGAAGCGTGCCCCGGGGGATGTCCGCAGCGGCGACGACCCCCCTCTGGCCGTTGGGAGCAAGGCTCACCTGGTCTTTGCTTTGGAAAGGAGGGTGGGGGCTTGAGGGCTGAAACCCTAAACCCTAAACCCAAAACCCTAAACCCAAAACCCTAAACCCTGAACCGTGGTTGACTGCAAAAACCTAAGTCCCGAAGGCGGTTAGGAGGGTTAGGAGCAGGGCTTGTGGGCTTAAGACTTACGGCCTTAGGGGTTTAGGGCATAGGCCTGAGGGATTTACAGTTTAGGGATTCAAGGTCTACGTGCTTGGGGGTTTCAGGATCTTGCATGAGGTGCTTTGAGGTCTCGGGACGAGCGCACATTACCTTCCGGAAACACCCTTAAGCTCAGTGGCCTTTTGTGGATACACCACAAAATGCACGATGATCTATAGCAAGTTCTATTAAGCCCTAAAACCCCTTTCCCTTTATGGGACCTTTGCTAAATTCAAAGCCCTAACCTATACCCTGAACCCAAAAGCCCCGTAACCCTGAAGCGCACACTCGACAAAGTCTGCTTGCCTTCAAATCCTCACAGACATAGTCAGGAAAGGCCGGAAGTGAGACCGCCACGTGCCACGAAGCCTCCTCCACCTCGACATAACATGGGGAGCTTCCCAGAGAGCCCAATACCCCTTAATTAAGCAATATACCTTAAATTAGAAGGGGCTTCATAATATGATTTAAGCTATATTCCTTGATTAAGGGGTATTGGGCTTTCTGGGTTAATAACTAGATGAGGGTTTTGGGCGGGGCCCATCATACTACAACTACAATAGTAAGGAACCCCACAACAGTATGGGTAGTTACTAGGGCCCCTATATTGACATGCGTGCTCTTGCACTTGAGTCTTCGAAGTCTTAGAGTTTATGTTTCGGGATTCGGCATCCAAAGACAGGTTGTTTTAACTCTTGGCCTCACAAAAGCTTCAGGAAACATGCCAAACCCTAAACCTTACACGCTAAAGCCTATGCCCTTCACCCTAAACCCTGAACCCTCAACCTTCAACCCCAAACAGATAAGTGTTGCTAGTTTGCTGCGTCAACGTTGTGATAGACCGAAGCTCCTGCCTCAGCCCCCGCCCCGCAAACCAAAAAGAGCCTCCAATCTTTAGGCATGTGTTAGGGTTTAGGGTGTAGGGTTTAGGTTTTAGGGTTTAGGGTGTAGGGTTTAGGGTCTAGGCTGAACTTAATTAGGGCCTAGGTCCAGGTGCTAGGGTTTAAGACCTTGCGGTGATTCGAACCAGGGAGTTGACCGTAGACCTGTCTGGCCTCTGCGGCCACACCGGCCACACCCTCCTCGTCGAGTTCGCCTCCTTCCGGTCGCAAAACGCACTTGATATGTGGGTCTTAACAAGGAGAACAGGGTTAGTATAAGTGTTTTGGGACCATATGGGTGTATGCTTTAGGGTCTAGGCCTAAAGTTGCCACAAGATAAGCATAGATGGACTATATGGGCATCATGTTAAATTTTACTCAGACCTCAGTGCCTCCATTCGGGTGCATCGCGGTACCGCACGGTTGTTGGACAGCGTTCAGGGCTCCGGGGCATGTTTAGGATGAATACAGAGGCCTGATTAAGAACCCATACAATCTTGGGGTTGTTTGTTTCAATGTGGGCATAACCTACCCGAAAGCCTTGGTCTACTTATGAAGGCCTTTTGGTTGTGCTTGAGGTTTTAGGGTTGTGGAGTGTGAGGGCCAAAGTTTGTGCTTAGCTGTTCGGACTTAGGGCTTGGCTTTTAGGTCTTCGGGTACCCCAACCCTAAACATTGAACAGGTTTAGCTGTCAGGTTCTACGGCTTAGGTCTGAGGGCCTCCAGGCAACCTATACTTTCTGCACCAATACTTCAAGGGCCTGGGATGACTGGAGCACGAAAAGTAGAATAGGGTTTGGGGGTATAGGATAATGTAAGTATAACTTTTCGTCCCTGCGCCACCGTATGCGTTGATACTTCTGCTGTTCTCATGCCTATGCCTGTAGGTGAACACATAGAAACCCTACGCCCTAAACCCTAAACCCTGAGCCCTTACCCAGAGAGCCCAATGCCCCTTAATGAAGCAATATACCTTAAATTATGAGGGGCTTCGTATTCTGATTTACGCTATATTCTTTAATTAAGGGGTACTGGGCTCTCTTGGGTAATCCGAAACACCAAGCCATGGCTCCTTCATCATCCTCCACAAAGTAGACCGGACTCATCTCAGAGAAGCCGCCCTCGGAGAGCCGTTGGAAGCATTTCGCTTGCCGGTCCACTCGCCGCCATGCCGCGGCGAGTTGCGACGTGCCTTGCTTGCTCTCATTCAAGGCTTAGGACTTATATTGCTTTGGGGACTTTTTGGCCTCAGTTTGGGTTTGGACAACCCTGAGCCCAAGCGGTCTCGCTTTGAGGAAGAAGACTTGACATAATCTGGTTCTCCGAGCAGGAGGACTTAAGGAGACCATATCCTGGTGCCTGTATCAGAGGGCTTACGATTTAGGGTTGAGGGCCTTAGGGTGTTTATGCAAGCAGTCACTGCGGACGATCCGGGCGAGATGGGGTTTAGGTGTTTAGGGGTTCAGGGGTTTAGGGGTTCCGAATTAAGGTTAGGGTTTAGGGCCACTCTCCTACTCTGAAGCCGAAACGAACAGCGCAGCTCATCGACTCTGAACCAGTCCATGGTTGGGATAGTATTCAGAATGTCAAGTTCCATTCCTTCTGGGGTTTATGTTGGGTTCATGTAAGCCCCCATAAAATGCAAAATGATATCCAACTATGACGAAGTGAATCCTGTACCCTGGAACTTCTGGGCTATCCCTGGCCCTCAGCAAAGAATCCTCATTCCTAAAACCCTAGACACAAAATCAGCCTGAATCCTAAATCCTATACTCTCCTAAATCCTCAAACCCTGAACCCTGAAAACCCTGAACAACCCAACAAAACCACGAGCTGAAGCCTATCACCCACTTTCTTCGCCATGTTACCCGCATGCCAACCTCACACTAGACCCCGACAACCGGAACCCTAAACCCTCAACCCCTAAACCACCTAAACCCCCTAAACCCCCTAAACCCCCTAAACCCCCTAACCCCCCTAAACCCCCTCAACCCCCTAAACCCCCTCAACCCCCTAAACCCTAAACCCACCGATGCATCCGAAGACAAAAGATCCGAGCGGCTTGGAAAACCGAGATCTTCTCGAAGGAGATCCTCCGGCTTCACGGTTTAAGGTCTAAGCTTCGGTTTTGGGTGTAGGCTTGAAGAGTTTAGGTTCTAAGGTGGCTTAGGGTTTCGAGTTTAGGCTGTTTGGGCGGAGTTGGCCTTCATAAGGTTTCGTGAGGCTTCGTGGATCGGAGTTTGAAGGTTTCGGGCTTCGAAAAGCTTGAACTATACTGAACTTGGGACCATAGGAAAAATGTTAATGTTAGCCATTTCTTAGGGATTAATAGTAACCCAACAGGTTAAAAAGATTCATAGTAACCCAACAGGGTAAAAAAGAATTTCCCCGTGCCCCTGTGTGAAAGCTGGGTCCAGTCTAGCTGGGTCGAGTGTTCCCTGTGTTTGATATGGTTCCACCGACCCTCCCGATGAGGGAGTTGGAATCACAACTTACCGTGAGGGTTTTGGAGGTCCACCGGCACGTCGAAGCCCAAGCCAAATCAAGCCTGAAGCCTTTGAAAATCTAACGATAGAATACAATTCGTTGTACTAATACTCTCATCGAATGCATTAGAGTCGGATACAATGGAACAGAACAGAATAGAATAGAAAACACAGCAATGGTACATCTAGCAACTCTCCAAGCCTGGAGCCCTGAAGCCCCGAAGCCTCAAGCAGAAGTCAAAAGAGCAAGAGCAAGCCCGGCAGCAGAAGCACACCGACCCGCATGGCTACCACGACACCGAGGAGGAGGAAGAGGAGGAGGAGGAGGCGGGCAACAAAGGACTTATGGAACAACGCAGAGGGACTATATAATGCTGCTCCACAGCATTCCTCAGAATGACAGAGATCGAATCCTACAGCCTAGACCCAAAACCATCAACACTCATGCCTAAACCCATAACATCCCATAGCCCTCAACGCAGACCCCAGACCGCCTAACCCCACAGCCTAAAGCCTAAACCATAATGTAGTAGCAAAAGTGACAATAAGCATGATCATAATACGAATAGTAAGACTAAGAATCATTATCAGTAATAATAACAATAATAATAGTAGTAACACAATAATGATAACAATACTAATAACAACAATAGCAACAATCATAATAAAAATAATGGCAGTACTAATGATAACAATAGTGATAACAATAATGATCATTATAAACTAACTGCCGCCAAGGGGCCTGGGCAGCTTCGTAGCTCCCGAGGCCAACCTCGGCGGCAGCCTCCGCGAGGCGCGCCAGGGCGAGGTAGTCCCTCCACCTGGATCTGCTCTTAAGGGTTTGAGGGTTTAGGGTTTAGGGTTTTAGGGTTTCAGGGTTTTAGGGTTTAGGGTTTTGCTTTAGGGTTTAGGGTTTAGGGTTTTGCTTTAGGGTTTAGGGTTTTAGGGTTTTAGGGTTTTAGGGTTTTAGGGTTTTCTGCTCAGAGGATCATGGGACTTAGTAAGTAGGCTATGATTTGGGTTATCAGTCCCCTAAGTGGGCGTATCCGAGTTATAACCTCCACCTGGGAGGAACCCTAAATAAGGACCCCTAGGTATATACCCCTAATATAGCTATTATATAGCCATTATATAGCCCATTATGGGGTAGTCCCTCCACCTGGATCTGCTCTTAAGGGTTTAGGGCTCTAAGGTTTTGGTTCAGCGTTTAGGGTTTGAGGGTTTGGGAGGGTTTAGAGAATTAGAACAGGGATTCGGGTTTAGGGTTTAGGGTTTGAAAGAATTGGAGTAGGGTTTTGGGGTATGTTGTGCTATGACTATAATAAGGAACCCCAAAACCCCAGTTTAATTATTATTGTCCCTCGACCTGGGTCTGCTCTTTTGAGGCTCTTTAGGCTTTGAGGTTTAGGGTTTAGATTCTAGGATTTTGGGTTCAGGGTTTAGGGTTAGGGGTTTGGAGCTTTGGAGCTTTAGGGTTTTAGGCTTTTAGGTTTTGCTGTTTAGGGCTTTAGGATTTAGGGTTTAGGCTTGCAGGTTTTGCTGTTTAGGGCTTGGAGTTTGATGCTTTCGCGGCTAAGGGCTTGGGGCTCGAAGTTTAGGGTTCCTTTCCTTTCCCGTCCGGTCCACTCGTAGGGGAGAGCTTTTGGGGATTGGGGGGTGTGGGCGACTTGGGGTATAGCGGCCTTGGCTTTGGAGTTTAGGGGGTTTTAGGGGGTGTTAGGAGTTTCCGGTTCAGCTCTGAAGGTTTTGGGCTTGGGGCTTTGGGTTTGGGAGTTGATGAGCGGGGAGTTGAGGTTGGAGCATGTACGGTGACGAAGACGTTTTCAGGAATTCAGCTAGAACAACATCCCCTTCAGGGGCAGTCTTGCGGCCACAATCGCTTTGCAGCTTCAATGGCACTGAGTGCCGTCGTCACTGTACTTGCACCACGAGACTGAAGGACAAAGGCCTGCCACCAAGACCATAATCTGTTTTAGGTCGCTTTCTTGACGATATATAAAACATAGTAGGTCAGGGAGATGGTTCACAAAACGTCTCTATGATTTACTCCAAAAACCAAACCCAAAAAAGCCAAACCTAACTTACGCTCCCAGACCCAAAACCCCTGAAGCTCTCAAGCCCCAGCACCCTTCAACCCCAAAAGCCAAACCTGCCTCTCAAAGGCAAAAACCCTCAAACCCTAAAAGCTAAACCTTTCCCTCCCAAACCCAAGACCTAAACCGTAAACCCCAAAACCCTGAACCCTCAACCCTAACCCCTAAACCCTAAACCCCTACATCCCAAACCCAAAATCCGAATCCCCTGAACCCTAGACCCCTACATCCCAAACCCAAAACCCGAATCCCGCCTCTCCGCACCACCCCGAACACGCAGCGACGCCGCGCGCGAGAGAGCGCCTCGAAACTGCTGGAGAGCATGCGGGAAACACTTAGGTCCGAACCTAGGGTTCCTTAAAGGGATCTATAGGGTTTAGGGAGTACTTAGAGGATCATGGGACTCAGTAAGTAGGTTATAATTGGGGTTATGAGTACCCTAAGTGGTGTCATCCTAATTGTAAGTCCCATGATCCTCTAAGTACAGTCTACTCGATAAATCCTGGGGTTCCTTTAAAGGGATCTATAAAGGTACCTTTCAGGGGCCCTTTAAGGGATCTATAGGGGGTTTAGGGTTTAGGGATGATATAAATCCTGCATTAGCCATAACAAGGAATATACCATAATTCCCATAATTTGGGGTCCTGAAGGTACTGCAGGATTCATATCACCAACCGGAAGGGCATTACATTTGTTTGGGCCGGTTTTCGTGTGGGGTTTAGGGCTTGGGCCTCGATAGTTAGGATAGGGTTCCTGGCTGCTTGTATTGTCTTTAACGTTTTTGCAAGGTTTAGCTTAAGGGCCTCGATGGGTTTTGGGGCATGTTATGCTACAGTCTCTTCCATCCGCTAAACCCTCAACCCTAGACCCTAAAAGGGGGGCCATGACAAGGTTTATAGGGTTTTGGGAGTTTAGGGTTCACAGTTTAGAAAATTTAGGAGCTTAAGGAGTTTAGGATTTAATTTTGTAGGCTTCAAGAGTTACGGGCCCCAGACTTGAAAGCTACATCCGAGCCACGTGCGTCGGCTCGAGCCCCTTCGAAGGCGCGCAGCTGCAGTCGCGCCAGCAGCCGCAGGCGGAGCGCCTGCGGGGCGCGGCCAAATTCAGAGATCCCACTACCCCTTAAATTCGGGGAATATAGCGTAAAATATAATAGGATTCCCTGATATGATATAAGGACCCCTTAATTCAGGAATATACCGTAAATTATAAGAAGATCCCTAATATGATTTAAGGCATATTCCTTAATTAAGGGATATTGGGTTCTCTGCGAAGAGACTCCGGTCACCGGAATGCTCCTTCAAAGATACCAGGGCCTGAGAAGTTAGAAGAGACTTCGTTTAAAGGGTCTAGGGTTTAGTACAGGCGCCTCGATGATTCGAATGGGGTTTTGGGGTGTACTGTAACATAATCATAACAAGGAACCCAGAGGAATGTTCTATATGGGTGGTTGTCAAAATTATGGTCCCTTTTTGGGTCCTTATTATAATACGGCACCTAATATTTAATATTTAGGGTACCCCAAAAAAGGGGCCATAATTTTGACAACCACGCATATAAGATTTGGGGGTCAGGCTTCGGTTGAACCCAAGCCCCGGAGAACCCAAGCCCTGACTAGGGCCTAAACCCAAGGAAAAGACCCGGGGAGTCGGTTTAGGGTTTACAGTAGAAGCCAGAAAGTTGGAATATCATTATCGTAACCCCTTTAAGGTAAATTATAGGGGATCCTACCATTAATCCGTATTCCAACTTTCTGGAGTTCCCTTTAGGGTTTAGGGCCAGGGAGTTCGACCGTCTGCGCCCAGAAGCTCGAATAGCTTCAACCCCGCAGCCCGTTGCTCTGAATCTTCAAAGCCGAACTATTTCACGAAACCCAAAGCCCCAAAGACCCGAAACCTTAGAAGCTGCCCCCACCCTGTAATAGTGACTATAAGGACTATATTAGGGCCCTATTATATTCCTACTATACCACTATTACAGGGTGAGGGCCCCTTCTAACCTAAACCTTAAATCCCTAAACCCAAAAACCCGAACCTCTAAACTCTGAACCCTAACCCTAACCATCCCAAAGCCTGAACCTAAAACCCTAAACCCCTAAATCCTTAAACCCACCTGTAGCCGAAAGGACCTACCTTTTGGGGGTTCCTTATTATGGTTTCTGTATAGAGTTCCCTAAAAAGGTAGGTCTTTTGGGCTACAGGCAAGCCCTAAACTCTAAACTCTGAACCACCCCCAACCACCCCAAAACGCGAACCCTCACCTCGCAACTGAACCAAACCCAAACGCGGCAACCCACCGAAGCTGCTGTCCTCTGACCCTGATTCCACAGGTTTAGGGTTTAGGATTGAAGGTTGTGGCTTTAGGGTTTGCGGTTTAGGGTTGAGGGTTATGGGTTTAGGGTTTAGGAATTAAAGGTAAATCCTCCTATATGATTATAGCATAATGTACTCCGAGATCCTATTCTGCCGATTAAGACCCGTCTTTTTATCGAATCCCTCGTAGATAAAGGACTCCTTAAACTGGAGCCCTATGCTCAGGCCTAAAACACCCCCTGAACCCTAGCACCCCGACACCCTACCCACTACCCTGATACCCTATGTACTACCCCCATACCATACCCTAAACCCTAAACCCTAAACCCTAAACCCTAAACCCTCATGCCGATTCCTGCAGGGTTAAAGGGCAGCTTGACAGCGCCCCTTCGAAGGCAGAGTCGGCCACCGGCGGCGGCGCCGCCGCCAGGTGGGGTGCCCTGAAAAGCAATTGAACGGAGCAGAGCATAAGGATGGGGAATATAGGGCTTACGGTTTAGGGTTTAGGCTTTAGGGTTTACGCGATAGGCCTTGTTGGGCTCAGGGTTAGGGTTCAGGTCCTAGGCTGGAGTGCAGATTTCAAGGTTTAAGGTTCTGGTTCTGGGGTTCTCAAGCTTAGAGTGACAACTTGGCACTGACAATCGAAACACTGCACTCTAAGCCTCACGGCTATGGCAGTTCCCTAGATCCTTCAACCCCAAGACCCTACAGCCCGAAATAAACATAAACCTCAACTTGAGACAAGGAAACACTCCATCAATCCTATCAAGTCAAACTCGAAAATTAAAGTCATACCCTAAACCCCTAAGCCCTAAACCCTAATCCTTAAACCCCTATATAATCCCTAAACCCCGAAACCCCCCACCTGGCTGGCTTCCAACCCGATGCCAAGGCCAATACTGCCAAAGCCGATGCTGCCGCCTGCCCCCAGAGAGCCCAATATCCCTTAATTAAGGGATATGGCTTAAATCATAATATGAAGCCCTATATAATTTAAGCCATACTCCGTAATTAAGGGGTATTGGGCTCTCGGGGCCAATGGGCAGCGGATGCTTTCGGATCATGGGAGATTAGCTTTCGGGGCTGCTTGGGGTTTAGGGTTTGGGGTTTAGGGTTTTGGGGGCTACTTAGAGGATCATGGGACTTAGTAAATAAGTTATAATTAGGGTTATAAGTCCCCTAAGTGGGGTTATCCTAATTATAACCTACTTATAACCATACTTACTAAGTCGCATGATCCTCTAAGTAGGGTTCAGGGGCAGTGGATACTTTTGGAACCATGGGTTTCAGTAGCTAGGGTTTGTGATTTGGGGTGTACAGTAAGCTGGACCATGGGAGACTGCGTGACTGGGGGTATAGATACGGAACAATAGCTACAATGATTAGTGACTCCAAGTAAAGCGATTGCTCCGATTCTCCGAACAGGGCTGCGTTCAAACCAACCCATAGCTGGAAGAACGAAGCCCAGAAGAGTTCTTTGTGGTTTAGGTTAGAACCGACTGAGGACTTTGGGTTTCGGGTTGCGGGCTGAGGGTGAAAGGCCCGAAATCCACGAGAGAATCAGGCAAATGAAGATTGCAATTCAATACCTCGCGAAGCACACAAGCCCGGAACCCGGTCCATGGAGTGTCAATTTGGGGAACTCAAAGTAGGTGGCTCTAATATGATGAAGCGATGAACAACTCACTGCGCGCCACCAGCTTCATCTTGTACAATAGAACAGAAACGATCAGTTTTCAGGACCTGCACATGTTGAGGGTTGCGGGCGTAGGGTAGCGGGTGTAGGAATGTGAGGGTTTAGGGTGGTCTAGTCATAATGATAATAATAATAATAATCATAGTAACAATACTAGTAGTACTAATAATGATAGTAGCAATAAGAGCAATTAATAGTACCTTCGCGGAGTTTGGGGGGTGACAGCTCATGAGTTGAAGCAAACCTCGGGCTGGCAGTCGAAGGTTCAGGGGGGGCCGCGAGAAGCGGGTCTGCCGACCTCCATCAGCGGATAAGGTTTAGGGTTTAGGGTTTAGGGTTTGGGGTTTAGGGTTTCGGGTTTGGGGTTTAGGGTCGAGGGTTTACTGCGACACCCTAACCCCCTTAAAAACACGAAACTCTACGCCTTAGATCCTCGGCGCACCTGTGCGAAGTTGCCGTCAGCCAAACAGCCGGCGGCATCGGCGATTTTCTCCGTGGCCAACTCCTGCTCCAAGACGGTATCGGGTTTAACATAGGGGCCTAAATAAGTACCGATACTATTCTGGGGTTTCTTATTATGACTATAGCATAAAGGGCCCCAAATCCCGATTCTGAGCATCAAGGCTCCTAGATTAACCCTGCACCCGACACCCTAAGAGGCTTCGACGCTTCGGGCCTAGAGGGGGCCTACTTAGAGGATCATGGGACTTAGTATGTAGGCTATAATTGGGGTTATAAGTCCACCAAGTGGGGTTATCCTAATTAAATCCTACTTATGACCTTAATTACTAAGTCCCATGAGCCTTTGAGTAGTCCTAAACCCCTGAGGCTCGACGGTGGGAGCATTCCAGCACAACGAGTTCAGACTTCGGCTCATGTCGTTCATGGTTTAAACCCTTAGGCTTTAAAGACTCAGATTTTACGGCTTGTGGGCCCAAAGACCATACGATGTAAGGCTTTTGGGCCACTTTGAGCCTTAGGGTAAGCTTCTCCGCCTGACCTTAAAAGCGGCTCGATCTTGGTATGTTTAAGCCGAGTGCGCCTTGTGACGCCAGGGAACACTGTGCAGCGCAAGCCGCGGGCGGGAGGGCAAGGGACGTCCTGGCAGTCGCAGGCTGGAGCTTCGGCTTCGAGGGTTTTGGGTTTAGGGTTTAGGGTTTTGGGTTTTGGGTTTAGGGTTTTGGGCTTTGGGTTTAGGGTTTTGGGTTTAGGGTTTGGGGTTTAGGGTTTGGGGTTTAGGGTTTTGGGTTCAGGGTTTAGGGTTTAGGGTTTGGGGTTTAGGGTTTAGGGTTTGGGGTTCGGGGTTTAAGGTTTAGGGATTGGGGTTTAGGGTTTGGGGTTTAGGGTTTAAGGTTTAGGTTAATGTAGGAACCTGATTAAGAAAGCCTGGGCCTATGACCCCAACATAGTAGGAATTCTTTAAGGAGCCCTAGTAAAGGCCCAAGGTTTCTTAATCAGGTTCCTACACTACTCTAAACCCTACGCTGCTCTAAACCCAAAACCCTAAACCCTGACCCAGAGACTCCAATATCCCTTAATCACGGAATATTCCTTAAATTATAGTAGGATCCCTCATATGACTTAAGCAATATTCCTGAATTAAGGGATATTGGAGTCTCTGGGGAAGCCTAACATGGTCCCCGAGTCCCACCAAAACACAAACCCAGAAAGCCCGGAGCCCCAAAGCCCTAAAAACCCGAAAGCCCCAAGAACCTAAAACTCGAATACAGAACCGGTTTAGGGTTTGGGGTTCATTCCTGAGGGTTCCTTGTTAGATAGCGCACTATACTAAACCCAAAGACCCCTTGCTGTTCAGGCCACTAGGGTCTTGAGTAAAGCCCCCGTAGGGAGACCCACATGAACCTCGTAATTACAAGGTCCCCATCCCCAAGTCCTAACCCAAAAAAACCTGAAAGCAAAACACTAAACGCTAACCCGTACACCCCCAATCCCTCAACCCTGAAGCACCAAGAAAAAGTATGGCCTGGACGTCTCCATTCCAGGCGGCAGCCAAGGGCGCAAACGGCGACCGGCGAGGCAAGCATAGCCCGAAATAGGATTTAGGATTTAACGTGTTTAAGGCTTAGGGTTTAATGTTATAGAGTTTGAGGGTTGAGGCTTCCGAGCTTTAGAGCCTGAAGAGGATTCGCCACAGGTTCTGTAAGAGATCTACAAAAGTTCTATGAGAGTTCTAGAAGACTACAAAAAGATTTCTATGAGTTCTAGAAATTTGTAAGAGTTCCATGAGATGCAGGGGTTCTATATGAACGATGTTAGCATGATTTGCTGTCTTAGGGTTAGGCACGCAGTCTTTTGGGAATGCGGGGCATTTGGGGGGGATCTTCGGCTTCAACCTAAGCTTTCGGGATCTACTTGGAGGGTCATGGGACTTAGTAAAGTAAGGCTCCTCAAAGGGTTCCCTTTTTTGATCTATGGGGTTTTCGGTTTAGGGTCTACTTGGAGGATCAGGGGACTTAGTAAATAAGGTCAGAAGCACCTTCATCGGAGTCATAAGTACTTATAACATCTTGTTACTTTATTTGTACCCCTGCCTACCAAGTCTCATGATCCTCAAAGTAGGGTTGGGGAGCTGAATTCAAGCTTGCTGTCGACCCAGCGCTTCAGACATAGGCTGATAGAATCTGCTTTACCAGGTGTCGAATTCAACAGTCCCTTGAACAAATTAACATTGGGGTTCTATATGAAACAGTAGAGGAAGTTAAAACTCAATATAATTAGGGCTCCATATTCAGACAATAAAGGATATTGAAAACTGTCCCAAATCGATACCCAGTTTAGTGTGTGGATCCACGGCCTTGGGCTCAGGGGTTCAAGGCATCCGGGGTCCAGAGGCCCAAGCTCGTCCCCTACCCATTCCCAAACTCGTAGTAGTAGGACCCTTCAAGGGCCCCTTTAATGGAGCCCTTAGGGTTTAGTCGTAGTCGTAGTAGTACTACTACTGCTGCTACTACTACTACTACTACAACTACTACTAGCAGCAGTAGCAGTAGCAGTAGCAGTAGCAGTGGCAGTGGCAGTGGCAGTGGCAGTGGCAGTGGCAGTGGCAGTGGCAGTGGCAGTAGCAGTATGTTGATGCCCAGAGACCCCTCATGTAAAGAAAGCGAACAGGCTTAGTGGAGCTGAGCTAGTTCAACGTGGAAGCCTTGTTGAAATGTGCCGTCGGCCTCAGCGGATGGCCCAAATCAGGGCAGATCAGCAGATGCCATGATCGGCAGAAACCAGCACCATGCCATGAACGGCAAAAGCCAACCGTGAAGGCAAGCTTCACTTAAGCTGTGCACAGATGCGCTTAAGTACATGTCACGTCTTGGTGTGCGAACGGAAAAAGAGTGTAGTGCGAGCTCCATGGCCTACGTGTGATCTTCCTTTTGCCTAGCGAAACCACGTTATTGCGACGAAGAAGATTGGGTTTGGAGGCGCTATCGGCCTCTGAACCGTTACAGGTTATGAGCGCCCAACCTCTGACTGCGACTCCAGTGCTGGAGGGAGAGGAAACGGGGCCAAGATATGGAGCTTTACACCAAGGAGCACACCGGGCAGACGTTCCTGGAAGAGGCGAGGAGCAAGGTCCTGGAGACCAACCCTTGATGAATGGTGTCGATCCTCCGAGACTGGAGACTGTTCGTGGTGGTCCGCCAATGACAGCGGACCCACGGCCGGTGGACCAGACTTTGGATGGCGGTGCAGCACAACAAGGGCTGGAGACCAGTGCGCCTGCTCAGGCTGAGCCAGAAACAACGACGGCGATGAGTCGGCCGATTCTGGGAACGGACGTGAGACCTGGTGAAGGGAGCGACTATCAGTCGTTTTCAGCGAGTCCTCCTTCTCCGCGTAGACCGAGAGTGCCGACAGAATCCACGATGGATCAACCGCACAGGGCCGAACGTACGGTGGCGATGGAGTATTCCTATGAGACTGCGGAAGGAATGCCGGGCGTTCGCTGGGTTGCAAGGCTGACTGAGTTTCTTCGAGCCACTACGACAAGGACAAGTGGGCTTCAGGGTAGGGTTATGGAAGGTTTGGGGTTACTGGGATCTCAGACAACTAACCCAACAGCCCAACAATACCAGCAGCAGCAACCCCAGCAGCGTGGCTTTCAGCAACCTGCCTTTTCTCCTCACGGTCTGTTCGAGGCCATGAGCCCTTGAGGTCTCTTGAGCAAGGACATGGGCCGTTGTTCACTCCGGAGCAGGGCGAGAGATTGAGGAGGGGACCTCGAGATGCCCCTCTCTTGTTTCCGACCGCAGGAAGTTCTACGTCCTCGGATGAGATTCAAGCTGAGGTCCAGCGGCAGCTCGCTCGCTATGTCCAGCGTTACGAGGGTGAAGCACAGGACCTTAGAGGGCAGGTACGGCAACTCGAACAAGAGAGGAATCAGCTTTTGGCTGCGCAGACGGTGTGGAACCAGCAATATCTACCAGCAGGAGATCGGGCTACAGCGCACCAGAATCTACCAGCAGGAGATCGGGCTACAGCGCACCAGAATCTACCAGCAGGAGATCGGGCTACAGCGCACCAGAATCTACCAGCAGGAGATCGGGCTACAGCGCAGCAGAATCTACTAGCAGGAGATCGGGCTACAGCACAGCAGTATCTACCAGCAGGAGATCGGGCTACAGCGCAGCAGTATCTACCAGCAGGAGATCGGGCTACAGAGCAGCAGTATCTACCAGCAGGAGATCGGGCTACAGCGCAGCAGTATCTACCAGCAGGAGATCGGGCTACAGAGCAGCAGTATCTACCAGCAGGAGATCGGGCTACAGCGCAGCAGAATCTACCAGCAGGAGATCGGGCTACAGCGCAGCAGAATCTACCAGCAGGAGATCGGGCCTATGGTCAGCACCAGCGAGAAGAAGAAGGGCGTAGTGCTTCTGGTCCCAGTCATGATGCTCAACCGGGTCGTGGTCACGATGGGAAAGATGACAAGCACCTGGACTTGTTGGGAGTCATAGCTCAAGGAATGAAGCAGCTCCAGGAAGCACAGGTCCGTGCGCTTGACAGGAAGCTGGACAGCACGGATCCGGAGACAGTGAAACCTGGAGTAACGGTGCTTCCGGAACTTAAGGCTCCCGACCCAGAGACGTCACCGGTGGAAGTTCAGGACTGGCTACAGTTGTTGCAGGCTCCTATGGCGGATCTGAGTGATAGCTCCCATGACTGGTGGGTCAAGGTGCAGGCTTTGGCTCAGAAGGGCTATGAGCAGTGGTCGAATGCAACGCCTTTGGAGCGGCTGGCGATGAAGGCTCCAGCAGACAAGAAGCTCGAGGAGGGCAAGTACGCAAGGTTGAACTCGAGGGCAGCGTCAATGCTCCTGGCATCCTTGGACTCCTCGGTCCGGGCCGATCTGGTGATGAGGCGCTCAACTCAGTCGACCACGCAGATCTTGTACCGAGTTCTTACCTTGTACCAACCGGGCGGTGAGACCGAGAAGAGGTTGGTTCTGGATCAGCTGCAGTCACCGATCGCCCAGTCTGAGCCTTTCAAAGCGGCGAAGTCACTGCGGGATTGGGAAAGATGGTTCAGGCGTGCCGGAGACGTAGGCGTCTCGACGCCAGACCCTTCGGTCCTTTTGAGAGCCCTGTCGGTGATCATGCAAGGAGTCTTGGATGGCAATTCAGAAGCTGCGTTTCGCACCTCACTTGTGCGCACGACGCTGAAGCTCGATACGAAGCCGACGCATGAGTCAGTGATTGCTTTTCATAAGCACTTGTTGGCTGAAGCTGAAGCTTTAGCCAGTGGCTCAAAAAGAACCCCTACGGTGCCAACTTCGACAGACCCTCCAAGGACGGCGGCTCTGGAAAAAGGGCCCAAGGTGAAGGGAATGCAGGCTCTCGGAGGGGGAGATCAACCAGCCCCCAAGCCGAAGGCAGCTCCAACTACGTCATCCCCTACTACCTCCGTTCAGAGGCCGTGCAAGTGGTTCGCAAGGACAGATGCGGGCTGCAAGCGAGGGGGAGATTGTCAGTTCTCCCACGAGTGGGGTTCAGTACCCAAGACGGGGCGTTGCCTGATATGTTCGGCCACTTCCCACTTGAAGAAGGACTGCCCGACCAAGGAGAGACCTTCGGCCGGACCATCACGACCACGGGGAGATCAGCAGCCATCTACGTCAACGGCAACTGCGGGAGCCCCTTCGGCAAGGACTATGAATGCCCCATCGGAGCAGGCGACATCCTCTACTACAACCCAGCCGGCGGCTGAACCGTCCCCGGCCACATCGCCGACAGGGCGAAGGCAGCCGAAGGAAGGTGAAGGGCCAGAGGCTCTAAAACGAGTCATTGAGGATGCGTCCAACATGTTGAAGTCGATGATGGCCAGCTCAGGTTTGCCAACGCCCTCTACTTCGTCATCGGCACCTACGTACGAGTCGATACAGAGGCAGCTCGACGAGTTGAAGCTGAAGACTATGAAGGTGGATGGAACGAAGGAGGCGAAGGCAGCAGATGATTCAGGTGTTCTCCTGGACTCAGGCGCAACTCATGTGTTGAGAGCAGCGCACGATCAAGTGGAGGAAGATAACACCAAGGCAGTCAGCGTCACCCTCGCCGGGGATGAGCAGAGGATCCTGAAGCAGGCCCCCTCGGGCAGCATTTTGCTGTCAGCCGAGGACAAGGACCGGGTGCAGCCAATCGTCCCGTTCGGCGCCATGATAGACGTTCTCGGGTGCACCTTGAAGTGGTCCAAGGGAGGCTTCACTCTGATTCACCCGCGGCACGGACGAATCAGGACGCGACTGAGAGCGGGATGCCCAGAGATGACAGATGCAGCCCAGGCGGCGGAGATCATCGCTGAGCTTGAAATGAAGAAGGTCGAGGAGCTCAGGCAAAGGGCAGAGGGCCTTCAACAAAGGCTCAATGCGGTGAGAATGATGGAGGTGAAGCAGGAGGACTGGAGGCAAAACCTCGCGGCCTACGCTCAGGAGGGGTGCGTGGTGGATGGACTCCAGGTTCTTTTCAAGTCTCCCATCTTTAAGGACCTCCCTGAGGCGGTGACGGGCACGATGATCCCCAACGTCGAGGTCACGGATGAAAAAGGATGGGAATACTTGAAGAGCCTTCCCTTGTGCAGGAGACTGCGGAAGCGGCTGATGAGATCGAAGGCGTGGATCCTGAACATGTATGGAGGGAAAACGGCCAAGGCGGACCCCGTTCAAGCTCTCACGGGCCAAATCAACCCGCGCACGAACACGGAGGTGGTGGTTGTGAACGTGGACGTGTTGTTGAATGGAGGCTGGTCAATGGTGGGACCAGCCTACAAGGCCCTTATGTGGGGTGCGATGTCCTCGAGGGTGAAGGCAGTTCTGGGGGCCCCGCCGGCGGGAACGTTTAGTGTGAAGCGACATGAAGATCGACCTGGATATCCAAGCCCGGTTCGGTCTACTAAGGAGCCCTATGGCCTCTCGGACCTCAACCCCACCGAGCGCTACTACGTGGATAAAGAGACAACCTTGGTGGCCCGACAGTTGATGCTGTACCTGGTTGCTCATGCGAGGTCCGGCGGCGATGAGGTGAAGTTTTGTATGTCCCACCCGGAGAATGCCGAGGAGATCGTCAATGGCCAGGACGCACCGTCACTATGGAGAACTCCTATGATGAAGGCGTTTTTGGAAGTGACGGAACCGTTGGGGGTGAAGACGGTCTCGTTCGACCAAGGAGCTTTCGGCTATCTGAGCAAGTCTCCGACCACCCTCGCGAGCAATCTGGACTTTGAGTTCTTTGAAGACATGCGAGAGGACGATGATGTGAAGAAGCGGAAGGTTGATGAACGGAGGCCGTGGGTTATGGCGGTCCGAAGGAACGTTGCTGAGAAGCTCTTGGAGTCTGGGGTGGCTTCAACAAGGGTCTGGGCCCATCGTGAACCGGGGCCAGACATCCGGAAGATGACAGCCGAGCAGGGCTGGAGGCTTCATGTGCAGCGGGATCATGTTCCTTTTAGAAAGGATTGTGAGCAATGTGTCATGTCCTTGGGAACTGGTCGGCCTCACCGGAGAACCAAGCAGAAGAGCGCCTACGTTCTAAGTGTGGATGTGGGAGGTCCCCTGAGGGCCGTTTCAAGGGACGCGCATGGCTATGGGTACCGCTACTTTTTGGCGGCCGCCTACACCAAGCCGAAGTTCGAGGACCAGGACGAGCCGCCCGAGTTCTCTCCGGAGGACCTTGCGGCGGAGGACTATGACTTCCGGAACTTGGACTTGGAGGTCCCGGAGTTGGACGAACCGGCCGATGACGAGGCCGAACCAGACCAAGGAGATGGCTATGCAGACCCCGGCGATGCGGAACCCGAAGGAGGCGTTGGATATATCGACCCAGGCAGGGGGGAGTTCTTGGATCTTGGAGACGAAGAAGGAGATCCCTCGGTGAGGAAGATCAAGGGCGATGAGCTGTGGGACGACGACGAGGAAGCAGAACGTCAACAGCGAGCAGATCAAGAACAGGATGAGCTTTTGGAAGGGAACCGCGAGATTCCTATGGACCACCTCTACTTTGTCAAACCCTTGAAGGGCAAGAAGGCCAAGCAAGTTATGCAGGCGATCCAAGAAATCATCCTGGAGCTCAAGCACATGAACCTCCCCGTCGTTCGGATCCACAGTGACAGAGCTCATGAACTACGATCCCCTGCGCTAAGGGAATGGACTCTCGGTCAACAAATTATGCTGACGCGGACTGAGTGTCAGTCTCCTCAGTCGAATGGCACAGCTGAGAGGGCGGTGCGGTACTTGAAGGGGCAGGCTCGCTTACTGTTGAGGACCTCCGGACTGCCTACATCGCACTGGGCGACTGCTATGGTCACGGCTGCCCACAATCAGCGCGAGAAGAGGCTGAACCCCGAGACCTTCAACCCGGTGTGCCCGTATGGAACTAGAGTGGCAATCAAGAAGAAGCGCTACAGTGATGGTGGCAAGCACGATCTTATGCCGCACTGGGTGAAGGGAACCTACTTGGGTCCAGTGTGGGATGTTCGAAATGGTTCAGCAGTCCTCGAGGATGAGAATGGCAGGATCATGGTTACTACCAACGTGAGGCCTCGACTACATGATCCCGGCACCGCGGCGGACGCAGCAGTGAGGGAGTTTGAGCCCCCATCACGACGGCGTCTACGAGGGAAGTCGGCGGTGGATGCGGATGGAGTGGCAGTCAGGAGCCTGACGGGTTCCCAAAAGGCATCCCATCGAAGACGGCTAGTCAAGGAGATTCTGGAGTTGGTTGCCAAAGACCCAGTCCATTCGGTGAAGAGGCCGCAATTGGTGGCAGAGGCCGTCCCCGACTCCGGCAGCAGCTATGTCACGATGGGTGCGTTCAATCATGGAGGTCAGTACGGGGTGACGAAGTACACTAGCGAAGCCCCGGAGCTTACAAGGAAGGTGACGGAGCTCCTCCAGCTTGACTTCCCGGACGAGTGTTTCACGTCCGCGACCCTCGTGAAGAACACATGTATGCCAACCCACAGGGATGTGTTCAACGAAAAGAATTCTTGGAATCTAGTGTCACCGCTCCAGGTAACCGAAGGGGCGGGTGTTTGGGAAGAGCTGAAGCCGGGTGATGTTTTTTCGGGACGTTACATGGAGATGCTCGTCAATGACAAGACCACCCCGGGCCAGGTTCACTCCCTGACGAATCCTGCGAAGGTTAATCCGAAGCGGTGGCACTGTGCGGTTCAGGGAACAGAGGGACCACGGTTGATCGTGGTTGGTCACACCATTGGTTCCTGGCGCAAGCTAACCCCAGAAATGGAAGGAGCCCTGGAAGTAGCTGGCTTTGTCTTACCTGAGGAGGGGGATGACCAAGCGCGCGTCAGGGCCATCCAGGAGGTGAATGACCAAGTTCTGCACTACCCCTACGTGACCGACGAGGATGATGAGATCAAGGATTTCGACCTCGTTGATGGGATCGCAGAGGTGGAAAATGATGTGATGAGGGTTGCCAAGGCGGCAGCTGAGAATCTCTACACGCCGGATGTGGAGCAAATCTTGTCTACCTGCGAGGCGGAGCAAACCGAGCTCAGGGTCGTTCACACAGTCCACCCGGCAGAAGTGGAACGGAACCTGGAAAAATGGGTTCCGTCGATGATGGATGAGATCAAGGCCATGGAAACTATGCGGGCGATCAAAAGAGTAAGAGGACAGGAGGCGAAGGACTTCCTCAAGCTCCCCGGCGCAGTTGTGGTCCCAGGAAAGGGAGTTTACACGGCAAAACCCCCTTCAAAGCCGAGCACTATGTTTCGGAGGAAAACGAGGATAGTGAGTTGTGGAAACTTCCAGAAGAAGTCCGAGGACGAGGTGAACTACAGTGGCGGTGCAGCTGCCGAGGCCGTGAGGTTGATGATTGGAGAAGGCGCTAGGAGACGCTGGTGCATCATCAACGGAGACGTCACAAGTGCCTTTCTGCGAGCCCCGGTTCCGGATGGTGTCCACCTAGCTAGCAAACCTCCTGCTGTGCTGGTGAGAGCGGGACTATGTGACCCAGATGAGTTGTGGATCGCCCTAGCGGCGGTCTATGGATTTAGATCAAGTCCCCGCTGGTGGGGGAATTATCGAACCGACATGATGAAGAAGGCCGTCACCGCCAGTGGTTTGAAGTTCGAGCAGGGCACGGCAGACCCCAACATCTGGAGGGTCGTGGACTCGAATGGGGAGCTAAAGGGGCTCATCGCGGTCTATGTGGACGACTACTTGGTGACGGGGCCAAGGGAAGTGTGCGAGGACGTTCATGCGTGGTTTTCTACAACATGGCAAACGACGGACATTCAGTTTGCCACGAAGGAGAACGCGATCCGCTTCCTCGGCATGGAGATTCGGTCCGTCGAGAACGACAACGGGGACTTCATCGGTTTCTCGTTGGACCAGGAAGGCTACGTACAGGAGTTGTTGAGGCAGTATGACATCGGCGAGAAACAGATGTCCACCATTCCCTCTGCGAAGGAGTGGATGAGCCTCGACCCCGAGACGTTCCCGGAGTCCTTTGACGCAAAGGACCTTAAGGCCGCTCAGTCGATAACCGGCGAGCTAGCGTGGCTGGGTCAACGGTGTAGGCCAGACCTAGCCTACACCGTGAGTGTGATGAGTTCAATGATGAGCAAGGACCCGGTGCGGACGGTTCAGATTGGGAAAAAGACCCTTGCCTATTTGAACTACACAAAGGAGTGGAAGCTTCTTTATGGCACCGGAGGCCCCAAGGCTCTCATCACTTACACCGACAGCAGCTACGCGCCGGATGGAGACAAGAGTCATGGAGGAGCAGTGGTGTTTTGGTCCGGTTCCCCGGTCGCCTGGAGGAGCGGCCGCCAAGGCCTTATTGCCACGAGTTCTGCGGAGACGGAACTATTGGCAGCGAGCGAGGGCTGTACTCTGACGGCCTCCGTGGATGCTCTTTTGAAGGACATGGGAGCCGAAGTCGAGGAACGCGAACTGCGGGTGGACAACTCGGCGGCGATTGTCTTGGCATCAGAAGAAGGAGGAAGTTGGCGGACCCGCCATTTGAAGGTCAGAGCTGGTTCGCTCCGACAGCAGATCCAGCGAGGATGGATATCAATATCGTACTGTCCGGGCGATCGTCAACTCGCTGATGGGTTGACAAAGATCCTGGCGGCAAAGCGCATGGAATGGATCCTGCAAGCCTGGGGACTGCGTCAACACCGCGAAGGTGATCTACGACCCGGACAAGTTCGAAGTGAAGGCGAAGGAGGGTGCCTACGGCGAGTTCAAGCACCAGCTCAGCAACAACCGCAGCAGCAAGTCAGCACAAGCACTTCAGCAGCACAGCACAACATGGGTTGTTGTCTGGGGTTACTAGTAACCTTTCAAAACATAGCTTCAGTTGTAGCTAGGGAAGACTTTGAAGCCCACTTGCCCCTGGCAGTGGACTCGTCCCTGGAACTGTATGGCGTGATTTTGATGCTGGTTATCTGCGTGATAGCGCTGTGGGAAGGAAGTCGTCACTGCTACCGTCGAGCAGAGGCAGCGCGAGTGAGGTCTATGCAGGTGGAGCAGCGGCTATCCAAGAAGGAGATGAGGAAGCTGAACCAACTGCTTCAAGAAGACCCTGCTATGCTGCAGCTGGAGGACAGGGTGACACTTACAGGGCTTGCGGAAAAGGCGGGCGTGGATCTTACAAGAATATTGACCAGGGAGTCAGTACGAGGAGGAACTCCCGCCGCAGGGAGTTTTGAGCAGGAGCAGCCGAGGCCGCCCCCACCGCCACCGGAAGCGGCTTGCGCCGCAGACGAAGACTTTCTTCGTAGAAGGCGGAGAGAGAGATCGGAGAAGGCGGCACCAAGCAGGCCGCCACGACCGGTCTACAGCGAGGACTCCTACGATGTTCCAGACCCTCCACGCATAGCGGAGGGAATCCTGGGAGGACGGGGAGAACGAACTCGAGATGCAGGAGTTCAAGTAGAGCTGCTGAAGGAGATGCCTCGCGTGGTTTACATAACCCCTTCTGTTCGTGTATACACGCGACACGAGACTGCAGCACCTTGAACAGATCAACCAAGTACATTCAGAAGGATGTGTGTGCGAAGTGCATCCCGGGACAACGAGAGGTCACTCAAGGGCCTCACTAATTCGTGATTGAGGCGATGGGCATCTTGCGATGTCATCGAGGAGGGGTGTTGATGCCCAGAGACCCCTCATGTAAAGAAAGCGAACAGGCTTAGTGGAGCTGAGCTAGTTCAACGTGGAAGCCTTGTTGAAATGTGCCGTCGGCCTCAGCGGATGGCCCAAATCAGGGCAGATCAGCAGATGCCATGATCGGCAGAAACCAGCACCATGCCATGAACGGCAAAAGCCAACCGTGAAGGCAAGCTTCACTTAAGCTGTGCACAGATGCGCTTAAGTACATGTCACGTCTTGGTGTGCGAACGGAAAAAGAGTGTAGTGCGAGCTCCATGGCCTACGTGTGATCTTCCTTTTGCCTAGCGAAACCACGTTATTGCGACGAAGAAGATTGGGTTTGGAGGCGCTATCGGCCTCTGAACCGTTACACAGTAGCAGTAGCAGCAGCAGTAGCAGTAGCAGTAGCAGTAGCAGTAGCAGTAGCAGTAGCAGTAGCAGTAGCAGTGGCAGTGGCAGTGGCAGTGGCAGTGGCAGTGGCAGTGGCAGTGGCAGTGGCAGTGGCAGTGGCAGTGGCCAGTAGCAGTAGCAGTAGCAGCAATAGCAGTAGCAGTAGCAGTAGCAGTAGCAGTGGCAGTGGCAGTGGCAGTGGCAGTGGCAGTGGCAGTGGCAGTGGCAGTGGCAGTGGCAGTGGCAGTAGCAGTAGCAGTAGCAGTAGCAGTAGCAGTAGCAGGAGCAGTAGCAGTAGCAGTAGCAGGAGCAGGAGCAGTAGCAGTAGCAGTAGCAGGAGCAGGAGCAGTAGCAGTAGCAGTAGCAGGAGCAGTAGCAGTAGCAGTAGCAGTAGTAGTAGTAGTCGTAGTCGTAGTAGAAGCCCTACTCACAGCAAATCCTGCGAGCCACCGACCCCCGAGAGTCTGAGAGTTAAGCCCTAGCAAAATCTGGCTAAGACAACGAAAGAAGCGACACTAAGGCAGCGGGTTGAAAATTGGAATCCTGATAAACCCCTGAACCCTTGTAAGACCCTTCTAGAACACCGTATGGAAACCCTATGAAACCCTCAACACCTACCGCTCGAAACCCTAAGCCTAAACTCCAAACGCCAAACCTCCCACACCCTCAACGCCAAACGCCGGGAAACCTAAGTCTAAACCCCAAACGCCCCGAAACCCTAAACCCCGAAACCCCCGAAACTCCGTGGCGCCGGGCTCTGAGAACCGTCAGCAGCAGCCATGGCACTCCATGGCAGGGAGGATTTGCGTTCAGGGTTTTATCTGGGTTTCAGGGTTTAAGGTGTATCAGATGGTAAGGTTTAGGGCTTGGGGTGTAGACGTTTGGGTGTTGTCAAGTTTGAATAACGGCTTTGGGGGTTGATGCATCCGAGGGTTTTAGAAGCCCTTTCGAGCTTGGGGTACTTATTACAGTTATACTATATAGGACCCCAAAACCCTATTCTGAATATTCTAATTATTATTCTAAGAATTGCTGAGACGCTCGGGGCTTAAGCTGCTCACCTCCATGGCTTTGGCTTCGGAGATGCGGGCACCATAGTTTCACGAAAGCCCCCCGTAGCTAGCACTTCGAGCCACAAGTGGCCTTCAAAACAAAAAGCCTCGGTGCAGTGAGACTGGGGTAGGAAACTTCGGGTGCAAGTTTTCAAAGTTCGGGCTTAAGTCTCAGGTGGTGAGGTCTTGGGGTTCGATGCTGTAGACCGCAAAACCCCTAAACCCGAAACCCTCATACCTAAATCCTAAACCCTAGAACCCCAGACTCCCAAACCCTAAACCATACCTTAGAACCCCGAACCGCAGACCCTAACATTGAGGCAGAGATCGGGCTTGGACGTCCGACTCCTGGGCTCGAAGCCCTCCTCGTGTGGGGAAGAGGAGTCTGCAGGGGTCTAGTTTACAGTTTAGGGCTTACGGTTTCCAGGGTTCAATGTTCCGGGTTTTGGGTTTGGGGTTTAGAGCTTAGGGTTTTGGGTTTAGGGCTTAGGGTTTTCGGTTTAGGGTTTAAGGCGTGGGGTTTAGGTTATAGGGTTTAGGGCTTAGGGCTTAGGCTTAGGGTGTAGTTCGGGGTTTTCAAAGATTCCAAAACCCCTTACTTCAGGAATGTACCTTAAATCTTATTTGGGTTCCTACTACAACTGGAAGTATATTCCTGAAGTTAAGGGTTGTTGGAGACTCTGGGTACAGGGATCAGCGCCAGAAATCCACCCTAGTGTTTATGTTCAAGGGTAATACTTCCAAGTATCACAACCCCAGTTAGGACCCCTTTTAGGGTACTTGTAAGTCTACTTGCTACCTACATACTAAGTCCCCCGACCCCCCAGGTATTCCCTAAACCCTAAACCCCAAAACCCTAAACCCCCATATACCCTTAAACCCTAAAACCCTCAAACTCTAAACCTCAAAACCCTGAACCCCTTCACGGGTTATGGAGGGTCGTAGCTAGAATTTAGAGCGCAAGGGCCTTATGCAAGTTTGCGGTTTGGAGCCCTGGGCTCCCACCAACCTGCTTCCGAAGCCACAGGGGTTGGGCTTTAGGGCTTAGGGGTTGAGGTTTAGGGTTTAATGCTCAGGGTTTAGGGTTTAAGGTTAACGGCTCGGGGTTTAAGGTTTAGGGTTTAGGGCTTAGGGTTTAGGAGTTGTTGATTTTGCCTTTTTCTCCTGGGATAGACATCTGAAGCCCCGTCAAGAGGGTGAGACATCTGATCCCTGTACAGAAGGACCCGCCTGTCTGGAGAGAAACCTCCGGCGCAGGGTTTCTTCGAAAGGTTCTTTCCGAACAAAAGTATGCATTATGTAGGCTAAGCCAGCTTAAAACCTAATGAGGTTTCATCCCTCAACGCTCACCTACCATTTACACGTACCGGAACCCTGAACCCTGAGCCCTAAACCCTCCACCCCAAATGCAAAACCCTACGACGCTTCAGGGACTCGAAGCTCCCCGCAATCTCTACTTAGAGGATCACGGGACTTAGTAAGTAGGTTATGATTAGGGTTATAAGTCCCCTAAGTGGGGTTAGGGTTTAGGGTTTAGACTTATAACCTTACTTACTAAGTCCCATGATCCTCTAAGTACAGCCAAGCGAGAGGTTCGAAAGGCTTTGGCTGGAGGGTCGAGGGTCGTCGGCTTTAGGGCTTACTATAGGGGCCTTAATCATTTGGTATAGGGGTTTTGGGGACCACTATACTATAATTACACTAAGGAACCCCTAAAGTAGTATAGGCAATTAGGGATACGGGATCAAGCATAGAAATTCGCGGTAAGCCTGCCTCGCCACTGATGCCGTAGCGGTGTTGGTTCCTCAAGTATAACCCTGGTTTTACACCCGAAAACCCAAACCCTGAACCCTGAACCCCACTACCTGAGCCCAAATAGTCTCTGTTGGCTCCTCTCCTGGTGACTCAAAGATGAACAAACCCGACAACAATAAACTATAAACCCTAAACCTTAAACCCTACTACGAGAGATTAAAACAAGACTCCAAACCCTAAACCCTGAACTCAAACCCTACTACGAGAGATATATCTCCATATGGGAGTTTCCGAAAATTAGGGGTACCTCATTTTGGGGTCCTTATGATAAGGATCCTACTATTTAGGGTACCATATTAGGGTCCCTTATTTTCGGAAACTCCCATATGTATATAACAGAAAGAGAAAACCCCGCGGGCATCTTGCAGGTCGACGATCGGTGTGCGCTTTCAAAAGCGATGGGCAGCTGCACAGGGTCTAACACAGCTCTGCAGATGTAGGCGAAGTAGGCATTGGGGCTTTAGGGTTTAGGGTTTAGGCTCCAGGGTTTGGGGTTTAGGGTTTCGGATTTGGGGTTTAGGGTTTCGGGTTTAGGGTTTAGGAAGTCTAGGACCCTAGGATCGTGGTTTCGAGCCCCTTCTTGCTTGGGCGGTGGAGGTGCAACGCTTCCAAGGCCATCGAATATCGGGAAAGGCCAGAAGTCTGATCGGGGGGTGGTGGATCGACGTGTCCTGTCCCACGTAGGAACCCTAAAGCCGGAACCCCGAACCCTGAGCCCTGAACCCTACACGCCCGGCAGGGCAACAGACGTGGCATAGGCTCTGGTATAGTAGGCCTTAATGAAGACTTAATTCTTGAAGCGGGCTGGTGATCGTAGCTTCACTATCCATTCGAAGCGTTGAGGGTATGCTATGACAGCTACTACTCAGAGGTCTATGTTTGAGCTTCGTAGAGACCTTGCAGAGCCGCTTCATGCACCAAAAAAACGTGGCTGCTACAGTGCTGGCCGACACCCAGAAACCCTAATACCCTAAACCCGAATACCCTAAACCCTAGCACCAAGAAGCCTCATACCCTAAACTCCCGAAAACCGTAAACCCTTTTGCCTACAACCTAAATCCTGTACCCTAAGCCCCTGAAACCAAAAAATCAGAAACTCTCAGCCTTCGGAAATAACTACAGGACACCCTAAACCTTAAACCCCCAAACCCTACACCCCCAGAAAAACCAAACCCCAAACCCCGAACCCCCAAAACCCCAAACCCTACAAACCCCAAATCCCAAAAAGCCTAAACTCTTGACCAGGCCAGACTCATTCGAAGCAGCCGGCAGCTGCCGGAGTTTGAACAGATGTACGGCAAGGGTGTGCTTGGTACACTCTCCTGTACTCGAGTATCCAAAATGCTATAAGGTAAGATTCTATGATACTATAATGTGTATACTAGAGACCCTTGGGGACTTTGGGTGGACGAACCTTGCAAAGCGCAATTTACGCAGGCTTCAGAACATAATTGCAATATATAACTATAACATAATAGAATATATCACAATATAACATGTTATGATATGATATGATATAAATGATACGATAAAACAGAACAGAATTTTACATTATAATATACAACAATCTAATATGATATAATATGATATTATGTCATATCATATAATATA